TAAATTGTACACGACGGTATTCTAATTTAGCGAATGCATTAATAATGGAGTCCACATCCATACCAATAGTATACAGTGTTTCAAATAAAATACTTGAGCAATCGACTAGAAATACATCGCTCATTTTGTTGCGCAAATCAATTTTCACATGTTTCGTTGTTGAAAAGGTTCTATTGGTATTAGCTGTTGAAGCGAGCATCATCAACGCTAGACAAATCAATCTACTAATCAGTTTGCATTGTGTTTCCATCCCTATATCCACCAGCTGCTCTAGTAAATTTTCCAAGGTAACAAACCTCATATATGTTTTAGTCTTTTACGTTTTAAACTTTTTGAATTTTTAGGTTTCATTGTCTTTTTAGACGAATAACCTTTGGGATTAGAATTTACAAGTTAAATTTAGAGTAGTGATTTTGAATGTGTTCATCTGAATTATTTTTCTAATTATCCCAATCTTATTTTAAAATAACAATGACCCGAATATCTAAAATCGAAAAATTCATAAGACCTATACTAACTATGGATCCAGAGAAGGGCTGGGCCGGGGCCGGGTGGCCACCCCCTGGATCCGCAGGTGATCACAAGCTCATGATAAATTTAAAACGATTGGTAAAACTTTGACATCCAATCTAACTCCTAGAATTCAAATATCCTGACCGTCGTTTCTGCACCACACTCAGATGTTTCGTGTTGCCACTGTTCATAGTCATTGGTTAACTAATAGGTGTTGAACCAGCCTTCTAAAATAGCACTAATCTCTCTAAAGTAGATTTACCCATCAAGTTTGAAATTCCCTTCAATTCCCTCCATTCTTTTCTTCTCACAGTTGCATCATAAAAGGAATGCAAGGGTAAACAAAAAAAAATTTTTAGAAAGGTTGGCGCTAAAGCGCCTAATTCGTATTAGTAATAGAACGACTTTGGGAAATCCCCATTACATCGTAAAAGAGCCGTTGACTAAGACCGGCGTCATACACATCGAAGGAATGTGTACCAAAAGGAAAGCGGTGACCAACTTTAGCAAGGTAGTCCGCCGCAACATTCATTTCTCTAAATACATAGGAAACTTTAACCTCCCAATCGAGGTTCAAAAGTACCCTGATGGATGCAGCAAGCAATCCATGTCTATGATCATCATTCTCCGAGCAGTTAATAATGGAAATGGCAGTTTTGGAGTCAAGGTTCAACTCCACTTTTCGGTGACCCTCTTCCCACGCAATCTTGAGGCCAACCGCAGCAGCTTTCAGCTCAGCACAGGTGATCGAACAGGTGCCCAAATTACACACAAAAGCCTTGCTGCAGCTTCCAAGGTGATCACGCAGGAGTCCCCCAGCAGCAGCTTCCCCAGTAGAGGTGTACACTGAACCATCAGTTTGAATCATAGTCCAGCCCTCCCTAGGTGGTTTCCAGGAGACCTGCTTCACTGTACATCCAGGGGAGTTTCCAATTGATGTTTTCCTGATGCATTCATGAGCTTGCTGAACAATGTTGAACCAAGCTTGTATTCTGCAACAGAGCCCTTGAAAGTTGAAAGGTTTCCCTTCCATGACAATCTCGTTCCACTGCTTCCAAAGATTCCAGCACACAATACCAAAGTTGATACCACACTCCATGTCAGAGAGGTTAGCCATCAGCCAATCCTCGAAATCAATGGTAGGAGAGTTCGTTTTCATCTTGATCTTGAATTTGGCCCATGTCTGCTTTGCAGCAGGACATTCCTTTAGAATATGTTCAATGGATTCCTCCCTATCCTTGCAAAGGCAGAAGTACTTGTTGTCAGTCATCTTTCTCATCTCACGTTCCTTGTTGGTCATCAGGCGATTATGCAACACCAACCACAAGAAATGCTTAATTCTACTAGGCCCCTTCCATCTCAAGAGCTTGATCCATTTGTGTTCCTCATCAGTCTCTTCCAACCCTGTAGCAAGTGCATAGCCTGATTTGAGCCTGAATATTCCATCACGTTCTAGTGCCCATATCATCTTATCCTCTCCAGTCTGTGCAATTGGAGCTTCCATGCCTGCAATCAGATGGAGGATATCATCAGGAAAAAGGGTATTCAATTTGCCCCAGTCCCACTCACCTTCTTCATTCACCCAGTCTGCAACAGAAGAGTCTTTCTCTTGAACAGACTGTTCCTCCAACAGGAAGTCCTCAAGCTTAATGTCACAGTCGATCCAGGGGTGTGTCCAAAAGCTGGTAGTGTCGCCATTCCTTATGCTCCAGCAGCAACCACTTTTCATCAAAGGCATTGCTTTCACAATTGCCTTCCACAAACTCGAGTGGTTACTCTTCTTCATAGAGGTAATGGCACCCTCCTTGTGTTTGAAGTACTTCCCTTGGAGAACCTGCACCCAAAGCTCATTTTCATTGTTGAGAATTTGCCGCGCCAGCTTGATCATGTATGCCATGTTCAAGTTGCGGGCAGAGCGAAGTCCAAGACCTCCCTGACTTTTGGGTTTGCACACAGTACTCCATGATAAGAGGTGGGTTTTCTTCTTTCCTGCCTGTCCACCCCAAACAAACATCCTTATTTTCCTGTCAATTTCATCACACACAGCAGCAGGAAGGGGTGAGGTTTGCATTGCATAATTAGGGATAGCATTTAAAACAACCAAAGCTAAAGTAACTCTCCCAGCAAGGGAGAGTGTCTTAGCCTTCCAAGCAGTGAGCTTGTTGTCAATTTTCTCCAGGATGAATCTGTAAGTGCTTTTGGTGATTCTTCCATGGATGAGAGGCATGCCAAGGTACCTCTCAAGGTCTTGTGTTTCTTGAATCCCAAGTCTAGAGCACACCTCACCCCTAGTAACTCTAGTCGTGTTCTTGGAGAAGAACACTATGGATTTCTCCTTACTAATGAGCTCCCCAGATGCCAAGCAAAACCTCTCCATACAAGACATTACAACCTCAACATGTTTAGAATTGGCTTCAGCAAACAACACCAGGTCATCTGCAAAAAACAGATGGGAAGGAGGAGGGCCATCTGCAGACAGTTTCATAGGTTTCCAGTTTCCATTCTTAACCTCGCTAAGGATACAATGGCTAAGTCTTTCAATGCACAAGGTAAACAAATAGGGAGAGAGGGGGAATCCTTGTCTAAGGCCTCTAGAGGGTTTGAAGCTCTCAGTAGCCCCCCCATTCCAAAGAACCAGGAACCTGGCGGAAGTGACACAGGCCATGATGAGGGAGATGCAGTCATTAGGCAAGTGAGCTTCCTTCAGTGTGTCCTCCAGAAAATGCCAGTCAATCCTATCATATGCTTTGGCCAAGTCAATTTTGAGCAGCATGTTCCCTTTCCTTCCTGATTTCTTGGACATAGAGTGAACAGTCTCCTGCAAAATAATAATATTGTCAGTGATGTGGCGTTTGGGCACAAAGCTTGACTGATTAGGATGAACAAGGTCAAGCATAAGGGTCTTCAGCTTGTTAGCAATCCTCTTAGCCACCACCTTGTACCCCACATTACATAGACTAATAGGTCTGAATTGATTCATAGAACAAGGTCCTTCCACTTTAGGAATCAGAGCCAGGAGGGTTTCATTGACTCAATTCTTTTGTGATCTCTGAAGCACATCTGGATAAAGAGGGTGAACTCCTTTTCAATGTGAGGCCAACATGTCTGGTAGAAGAGTGCCTGGTAACCATCCTTGCCAGGTGCTTTGAGGCCATTCATCTCCATAACAGTGGCCCTGATCTCCTCCACTGTAGGCATGATTCCGATACATTGCAGTCTAGGTTCATCCAAACGAGGGAAGTCAGCTGGGAGAGAGATTTCTTCTGTTCTTTCTTCTCTTGAGTAGAGTCTAACATAGTGAGATCTAGCCATCAGCACAAGGGCCTCAGGATCAGTCACCCACTATCCAGTGTCATCTTTCAAACTCAGAATTCTGTTGTGCTTTCTTCTATTGAGAGTTGATTTGTGGAAGAAGCTTGTGTTCATATCCCCAAACATAACTCAGTCAGCTCTAGACTTCTGAATCCAGAGTAGCTCTTCCTGCCAGAGGGTATTTTCCAGTTCCTCCCTTGTTTCCTGCTCTTTTGCAGTTGAGTTCCTGGTGGGATTTATGCAGTTGACCAGCTCCAGTGATTTAAGGTTGTTTAACAGCTCTCTTTTTCTCCTGAAAATGTTACCAGAGACCTTTTGGTTCCAATCTTTTAGGTCTTCAGTGAGGCCCTGCAAAGCACAGTGAAAGTCTGAATTTCTCTTCCAAACAGTTTGCAGAAAGGGGAAAAAATCATCATGAGTCAACCAGGGTGCAAGAAACTGGAATCTTCTCACCGGTTTCTTATCTCCTTGATCAGTAGAACTGCAGGTCAGGATTGGACGATGGTCAGACTTGATCTTTGGGAGGTGTGTGACAAAGGAGGAGAGGGAATTCCTTGTGCCAATCCAGATTACAGATACTTTTGTCAAGTCTTTCCTTTAGGTTAGACTTGCTTGTGAACCACGTAAACTTAGGCCCTGTGAATCCTAAGTCCATAAACCCACAGTCATCCATACAATTTCTGAAAGCTTTGATCTTGGCCATGTTAAAGGGAGCACCACCTTGTTTCTCTGACAATTTGAGGATAGAGTTCCAATCACCTGTGAGAAGCCATGTCCTGTCAACCTGCTGATCCATAAATCTGATTCCCTCCCATAAGGCTCCTCTCTCATGCTCATTAGGGCTGGCATACACCACCGAGAGAAAAAACATGACCCTGTTATTCACAACACACTTCAGATGGATAAACTGCTTGTGTTTATCAACCAGTTCCAGGTTGATTTTTTTGCTGTTCCACACCACCCAGATTCCACCACTGAAACCAGTGGCATCAGACACCTCACTAGAATCATAACCCATGGCTTTGATTACTTCTTTGGCGTCTTTACCACTAATTCTTGGCTCCAAAATACAGACAACATTAGGCAAGTGTAAAGACTTGTAAAAGGCAAAGGTAGACTGAAATTTGGGGTTTCTAGCACCCCTGAAGTTCCAGGAAAGCACTTTAACCATATGATCAGGTTAAAAGGCGTTTCCCTAGACTTTCTGAAGCGAGATCAGCAATTATCGTTGGCGATGGCCATCTCTTCCCTCCCTTGATCTTTTGCATTAGCATTGATCTCGGATGGAAATGTACTTTCTGCAACTTAGCAGCTTCTACCGGAATCTGGTCGAAGTTGATCTTTTTTGGGCACCCAAGATCTACATTAGGGGATCCCACTTTCTTCTTTGCTTTCTTCTTACTTTCATTGCAAGGAACTTCAGCCTTCATTTTTGGTTGGTGTCCTGCTCTAGCTCCTGAGGCTTGCCCTCTTTCATTTCCACAGCCAGGGGAGCCAGAGTGATGTGTGGCCACTCCACTCTTTGGTTTGGCCAGCTTATGGTGGGGCGGTTGCTTGGCCTCATTTGCTTGTTTAGTTCTCAGGGCACTCTTGGGGGTGTCTTTGGAAAGGCGATCACCACTGCTTCTTACTTGCTTGGGTGCGCTGACAGTCCTGCCAATGAGGGGTGGGATACTTGATCCAGCCTTCTCCATCTTCTCTTTGTTCCCTTCTCTAATCTTCAATTCCTTCTTTGCCTTGCTCTCCTTCACATTTGATGCTTCACTGACTCCCTTCTTGGTTTTCTCAATTGATTTTTTCGCGGGATGACTTGCTGAGATAGTTGCATCCAAGTTAGAATGTAATCCCTCTTCTTCATTGATTGCTGCACCAATATCTTCATCAACATCCATTTCCACTTCCCCATCCAGAACACTAAATCGAGATCCTTGCTCCCCTAGCTCTTCTCTCTTCTTTTCTTGGTTGTTGTTCTTTTGGTTGCTCTGTTGCCTTGGTCTTCTTTTGGCCCTCGTCGCCAGCATCCAGGGCCCAAAGTCCTCAAGAATTTCAGGTCTAATCTTCTGCTCCTGGCCTATCTCCTGTGTGGCTTTCATTTTTTCCTCGGGGGTTGCTTCTGGGGAATGGACAAGGGGGCAAGAATCCTCCAAATGGCCATAACAGCCGCACCCAAAGCACACACTGTGAAGCCCCTCATACTCCACTCGTCGGACCCTTCTTTTGATTCTGTACTTTGAAACAAGTCTTTTCCTCAGGTCGATCTCCACACAGATTCTTGCGTAGTTTCCTCTTGAACCATTGGCCGTGTTGTAGTCTATCTTCTCTACCCTTCCGATTCTGTCCCCAATATCCTGAAGGATTTCCTCATCAAAGTAGGCTAGGGGAAGTCGAGGAAGCCTTACCCAAACAGAGGCTCTAGTGATGGTGTCGAAATCAGGATCGAAATCCAGCCGCCATGGTTCCGCCGCAATGTAGTGGTCATCGATAGTCCATGGCCCTCCATACAACGCTCGATCATGATCTAATTGAGAATCAAAGGAAGCCTGGAAGAATCCATTTCCAATGTCTCCAATTCGGACTCCTCCTGTTCTTGCTACGCTGGTGAACAAAAGCAAAGGGGAGAGATTTTCCAAGCACACAGAAGGTAATTGCATACCTCCATCTGTTTCTTATGCGAGCATCGGTACTTTTCTTGATGTGAATGGTGGGACAGTCAGGATCGTCTTCAGTTGATTCATCTTCCGATTCATCTGACATGAGCTCATCGCCATCTGGTATGTCAATCGGCGGACCATTCCCCAAAAAGGAGTCCTTGTAGGAGATTCTGGGAATCTCATTCGCCTGCACTGCCTCCATTGGGTGGTCGAGGTTTTCCCCAGCCCCTTGAGTCTCCACAGCAACATCTTCAACGTTCTGGTAATGGGGTGTGGTGACAGAGATCACCATCTCACCCCCCCCCCCCCCCGAAAATCCCTCACTCATGCTTGCTTTCGCTTTCTTGCTAGGCTGCGGTGGCGTGAACGGCGGCGTTCCGTCCGGCGGCATCCCATCCGGCGGCTTCAGGCAATGGTCCGGTTCCGCCACAGGCGGAGCAGGCCCAACAGTCATTTTCCCCAGAGGGGGGAACACAACGTTCGAAATCCCTTAGGAGAGAGGGGAGAGCTTTCTTCTCTCTACTTTTTTCACTCTCTCTCTCCCACATAAACCCAAGAACTTTACGAGTAGTAGACTGTAAACAAAATCTTTAGGAACTTTACGAGAAAGCTCTTCCCTCTCTCTCTCCTACTTTCCCCTTTGAGTTTTTAATCGCTTTTCCTATTGGATGTACACAAAAACGGAGCCATCAGTGAAGGCATTCGTTTCATATCTGAAATCTTTGGTTATAACACATTGAACGAGGTCAAAGAGAATTATGCTCAAATTAGGGGTGGGCATTCGGTCGGTTCGGTTTGAACCGAGCCGAATAGGCGTTTACCGAATCCCCGAAGTAGCTCAAGGAGTGAACCGAGTTCGAACCGAAATATATTTCGGTTCGGTTAAGCCGAACCGAAATATATCCCAGTTCAGTTTGGTTTGTAGACTCTGCCCGATTTGTTTTTCTAAGAAAGTGCGCCTCTGTCTCTCTCCCTCCACACTTACCTTTTTCCCCACCCACCATTTCTACAGAACAAGAACCAATTCTCTCTTTCTTCTTCTTCTTCTCCTCTCTCTCTCTCTCTCTTACTCTCTCTCTCTTCTTCTTCTTCTCTCTCTCCTAAGATCACAAAGCAGCGCCCGCCGCCCAGAGACTATTTTTCCTCTCGTCTCTGGCGATTGACGGAGGGAAGAACTCAGGGGCAGGTGGCTGGCGACAGCGATTGAAGGAGAGAACGACCCAGCGACAACGGCGACGGCGATTGACATCGATGATTGTGACGATTCCTGCAACGAAGGTTAGAGGTTAGTAATGTTTAATATCCAAGTATGCATGAAAATTTTGGTTTGTTTTTCTCCTTCGCCTCTACGTCTCTCATCGATTTCGCGGTGCATGTTTGTATTTGGTTGAAGCTTTGAAGGGAAGCGATGGCATCGAGCAGATCTTTATTTGGGGGTAATGGCGTCGAAGCTGGTAGATCTTTAACTCTGTCGCTGCGGACTCGGGTGGGGGAAGGAACAAAGATGTGAGAGTTTTTGGTAGGTGGATCGGGTGGGGGAAAGAATGAAGAAGGAGACGGTGTCGCAGACTTGGAGCTTCCGATCTTGAACTTTCGCCGCCTCAGAGGAACAAGGCTAGGGTTTCACTAGAAAAATGGGAAATAGATGTACCGGGCTTGAGGTTGTTTGGGTTGTGGGCTTGGGGTTGTGTGTTCTGTGGTTGTGGGCTTGGGGGTTGTGGGTTCTGTGGTTGTGGGCTTGGGTTGTGAATGTAAGTTCGGTTGGTCGGTTCGGAAATCGGGTTCGGTTGGGCAGACCCTGATTTTCGAAATAGTGGATTCTGCCTTCCGAATTCCGAACCGAACAAGGATATTTCGGTTTTGGTTCGGTCTGTTTCGATTTCGGTCCGGTTCGGGTTTACCAAACCGGATGCCCACCCCTAGCTCAAATCTACATCGAATTTACTTAAGAAGCTCCTGGTACTGAAGTATATAATCAAGCAAAGGGTAAGAAGAGTGGAGTATGAAGGGCTTGACATAATAAGTTATGACTGTGGAAACTATGGTCCTTTGGAGGAGAAATTCCCTCTAGCGGCAATAATGGCCCGAGCAACACCAGAGTAGAAGACCAAAGAGAATGATCTCCCCGACCCGAGCCATGAAATCGGTCCTAAAGTGCGTCTTTTCCGGTCCGGTTATGGTACCTTTTCTTTTTTTTTTCTTCCAGGGCCCAGGAAAGCTCTTGAGCTCGCTAAACAATATTGGGTAGGTTCTAGGAACCTGTCCCCAATATCACAACGAGCTCTTCATGTGTTGCCTCTTCACCACTGGAATATCCAACTCCACCAAAAGCTGTAATGGGAGTATTCCTTCTTCTTTAACCTCTCACTTTGTTCGAGTATATTCGTTCCTCATACTCAAACTACGGGTTAGGATCTCTATCTTGGGGTATAGAGTACCGATTATTCCGAAGCTCTCGCTTATACATTTGTGGTTAATCCAATGAGAGGCGACAATATTGGGTAGGTTCTAGGAACCTGTCCTCAATATCAATGTAGTAAAAAACGAGTTTCTACATAGAAACGTTTTGATGATCTAGAAACGTAAAATCGTAAATTTTTAAGTTTTAAAGCGGGGTTTTAACTACGTAGTTTATAAAAACGGAGATTTTGTGTAGAAGCATTTTAGTGAGCTAGAAACATAAAATCTTAAGTTTTTAAGTTTTAAGGCGCGATTTTTAGTACATTGCCCAATATCAGAACGAGCTCTCATGTGTTGGGGACCTCGCTTGGATCATTAGACTTTCCTTTCCCATCTTCCCAGGCGGGCTCTGTTTCTTATCGCTTCTAGAGCTATGCTCTGCCTCACTCTTCGCTCGATGCATCCCCAACTATTACCTTTTCTTCCTTTAGATCCAACATAGAGGAGCTAAACCTCTAAGACTTCCTGTGAAAGGGCTTGCCTTTGGTGAGGGAGTCCCTGGCTTCCTTTTTGAAAAGCTAGTTTGTGCCCTTGAAAAGTTCTTCCAAGATTGCCTTTTACGACTCAGCTTTAGCTCCTCTATGGTGGAGCTAAAGGAAGAAAAAGTAATAGCTAGGGATGCATTGAGCGAAGAGCAGGAGATTCACCTAATCATTTCAAGATAATCCTCAGATGCACTCATATCTTCAATCGGAATTCCATCGTGCCGGGACTCTTCTCTGAATTCTTGGAAGGAGAAAGATATTCCTACGACCCAAAAACAACGTTGCATCCCCTGTTATAGCCTTGGATAACAGTGAATGTAGGGCGTCCCTTCGCACTAAACCAATAGAAGAGTGTAGCTGCCCCTCGTATCAATAAAGATACTTACCTTCTAAATGGGCAAGATTCAACGAATTCTCTATCTACAAGGATTTTAGGCTCTTTAATGCCCAAGGGAAAGCGTATCGAAAGTCGCAACCCTTCACCCACTCACCAGAGGACACTGGTTATTTTTCAGCAACAACCAGCTTTAATGGCTCAGGTGTACAACTTCATACATTCGCGGACCACTTTAATTATCATTTTAATGGGTACGTACAAGAATGAAGAAGAGACGTCTTGTTTGGTCCCTAGATGATAGCCACTAGATCTAAGAGGAAGAAACAAGCACAAAACTCAACGAAGAAGTATTCAAGGTAGGGAAATAATTTTTTTTACAAGGATGATATATATTTGCTTTTTTTGTGGTTAGGTATTACTAGGCAGAAAAATAACAACACATCGAAGAAGAAGGTTAATACAAGATCAAGATTTGATGTGTAAGTAGAGAAGAAACAAACATAGGAAGAGGTTGTGATCGAGGATATTAATGGAGAGGAAGAACAAGAAAAATCAGGTCGCAAAGAGAGTAAAGAAGGAGGAGATTACGCTAAGAAAAAATGAGAAGAAGAGAAGAGTGAGGAGAGAGAGACAACCAAATCAACACAGAAAATAACTTTGTAAAATGTACCCTTTTCTTTGTAACTCTTCATGGAACTCTCCTTCCATATAGGATCTCCATAATCATAGTCGTAGCGTAGTCATGAAGCTCTCAACAGGAAACTCCATAGAAGTAGTGGTAACTTAGATTCCCACAAACTCAAATACCCTAGTTCAAACATTGTTCGGAGAGGCGAGAAACGTTATTGTCGTCCTGATTTCTAGAAGTCCGACATGCATCGATCAAATCAACACCGCAAAATTTTCCACCGTGCAACATGACCTAACCGCTTCATAAATAAAATCTTTCTTCGTTGGCTCTGATTTGTTAGTTTTGCAGACGACTCATTCCATTGATATGAATTATGGTGCTTTTATATCGTCGTCTTTGTTCCGTTGGAATGCAACAATGGACGTCATGATCTTTGCGTTGTTTTTCAATCACCTTTGGAATTGATCCTTATTGCGACGGACCCAAGAATTTTACATAGCGGTATCCTTTTTCAAATATTAAATTAAAATTAAATAATTAAAAATTAAATAATTTTTAATTTAGAAAATATATGAGTAGTACATGTTACAACAAAAAGTGACCGACATGTTTTGTTATTTTGTAAAAAAAGAAATTAGAATACACTCGGTGTCTCTTCGATTATGAAACTTGTTCTTGATGTAACCCAAAGTCGAAAAGGCTCTTTTAACACTTGTAGTTGCAACCAGTAAAAACAATACAACTTCGATAAGCAAGTAAATCCAGTGATATGATAGAAGGGTGGGGGTAAGGGTATCCCTAATTGGGCTTAATCATTACTAATTTGTACCCGGCCTGTTGGCCGGAGAATTTCATTTTATCATTTATATATGTTTAAAACATTTTTAATCTTCTAATTTTTATGCTCTCACTTTATAAGTGAGTATGTAATATGTTTATATTTAAAATTCTCAATACTTAGCATAGATGCTTAGATTCTCCAATCATAAATCTTATAGTGAAGGCTTATCACGTCCTATTTAAAATAGTATATAAAATTTTGTCAACCAAAGCACTCAAATTCATTATCATATATAACATATAACAATTTGAGTTTCTTTATCTAGGACAAACTTTCAATCAATTATTAAGAGTTCAGATTGTTGGATAATGATACTTAATTACTTGATAAATTGTGCTTATCCCAAGTGAAACTTGACGCACACTGTACCCCTTACGCTGACCAACTTCTCTAATCTTGACTCATTTTCATGTGAATGCTCATTAAATCTCTGTTGAGATCTTATGTCAAATTTTGTCTATCAAGACACTCAAATATAGTATCTTATACAATAGAGTAAATACAATTTGTTAGTCAAATCTTTCAAACTTTTCAAATTTTGACTATCTTTTGTATTTCAAAATGTTTGGCTAATATTTTGAAAATTTTGGGTATTAAATTTTATTTACTCAATATGTATCAATCACTAATTCTTGAAGTTTTGACTAACTCTCAGCCCATGGTTGTTGTCTACATGTTGGCTAAGAATCTCATACCAAGACATTCTCACACACTATCAAGGGTTCTCGTATTAACATGGTCCTTTAGTGTATAATTTTCCAACTTTTTTAATATGCATTTACAAAAATTTCTTTATCTTTGGTGTTAGTATGAAACAAAATATTTAATTATATATCTTAGTAATTGATAAAGCATGTCTATAATTATAATGCACATAGATCTACGTGCATTAAACATGTGCATTAAACATGTCGTATCATTTGAACAATTGAACTTTTTTTTTATAGTTTACTTTCTATTATAAATTTATAACTCATACCAACATTGCGACATTTCACATACATATGAATTCTTGGATATATTATTGACACGTCTATTATTAATATCTAAGCATATATAAAGAGTTTACTCTGTTTGTTAACCCTAATTAAGACTTTTAAACTCACCTCGTTTAGTGCGATATGAAAACAAATTTTTGTGGCTAGGCTAACTCGATCTAAATACATATTGCTTACTGTTACAAACTAAAACAATTTTGTTTGGACACTATTATATGAAAAATGTTTTGTTACTGCCAAAATTCGGTATGGAGTCACAGACTCAATGTCATGCATGAAACCAAATGACTTCTTACAATTGTTAATTGATCAATGCTCGTTTTAGACTCTTCTACCTATAAATGCTTTTGGTGTAGAAGACATTCAACTATTAAACGAAAATTTTCAACACATGTTTGATCAATGCTAGGTCTGTGGTTTATGAAACATAGTGTTTATTGTACATCGTCAACAAATATTTCTCTAACATTCACACGTGTCATATAATACTTTTGTTTCTATCAAGATCTTTTATTATATAATACTTGTTTTATTTGATAGATATATATGTTAGAAATAAAAGAGTGATTAATAGCCAAAAATATAATACAACATAGTTCGTTTTTGAAAGAAGATTGATTATCTAAAAATTATTTCTCTCTTCCATCGCTATATTTTGTGTAATCGATAAAATATTATTATTTGATTGTTTGTCTAACTTATTATTAAGTTTTAGTAAAAATGTGTAGAAAATTTACTTGATAAAGTTTAATAAGATATTGTTTTTTGAACAAACACGATATATATCATTCTACATATAAAAAAATGAATTATTGAATAAAAGAAAAAATTATTAAAAGAAGAGAGAGATAACTCCATAAATGGATCATTAACTAACTTTTTCGTTTGTAAAAAAATTGTCCACCTGGGCCACTTGTGAATTCTCCAAATGCTTGTGGCAAGAAGTGGCTTTTGAACTACCATAATATAGAGCACTTCTACTATGCTATATAGTATTGGTGCTTTAATGTACAACTTAAAGTTGTACCATAATATTAAATGTATAAGTTTAGGTCGTACCATAAAACAATTTGTATCATTATGTTATGGTACAACTTTACAACTTGAAGTTGTACCATCACATAAAGGTACAAGTTCAAGTTGTACCATAAAAGAATTTGTACAAAAAGTATAGGTACAATCTGAAGTTGTACCATAACATAAATGTACAATTTTAAGTTGTACCATAAAGGCAAAAACCTATAGTACCAATACTATATAGCATTGTAAAATTTCTCCCATAATATATAGTAATATAAGATAAGAAGATAAGATGTTTGAAAACGGGGATACAAAATATAATTTTTACAATTAGATTTGTGTTTAAAGTAAAAAACAAATGAGTTGTAGTCTAATAAAAAAATGTTTACTAATAAATAGGGGTGGTAATCGGCCGGTAACCGGTTAACCGGTTACCGGTATACCGTTCACGACGTGGGAGCACTCGATTACCGATACCGATTTGTAACCGGTTACCGAATACCCAGTTACTGGTTACAAACTGGTTATACCGACTAACCGCAAGACCCACCCTCTCCTCTCTTTCTCATTCCCGCAACCAGACTCTCTCTCTCTCCAACCCTCCCCAGACCTCATCTCTCTCTCGTTCACCTCTCCCCAATCCCCAACCCTTCTCAGACCTCCTCTCTTTCTTGATTTCCTCTCATCTCCCCAACCCTACTCCAATCGCCGCCCACTGCTTGATGTCGCCTTCCTCTCTCGATCCAGATCTAGATCTCCGGCCGACACGACAATTCCTCCGCCATCTCGAGCTTCCCCAACCTGATTGGTGGCCTTTTCTGAGTCCCGAATCAGCGGCGGCGACAGCAAGGAGAAAGAGGAGATGGGTGAGGCGACAACCATCCCGCCGCCATCTCGTTGTAGCCCTCCCCTCGCTCCTGCCGCTCCCACCAGATCTGGAAAGATTGAGATGTCCTTATCCAGTCCACGTGCTCAGATCTGGAAAGATCGAACCTCTGCTTCAGCTCTTCGACAACGAATCGACGGCGGCGCATCCTTGGAAGGCGAGGTCGCGAATTGGGTCGAATGGAGGCAGAGCGGTGGAGAGGGAGCCGGGGTCGGAGAGGGAAGGCGAGGTCGCGGAGAGGTGGAGGCGGCGTCGACGTTGGACAGGGAGAAGGGTGGTTGGATCGATCGATTTGTTTAGGGTTTCTGTCACTCCACTCCACCCCTCGACGCCGGTATCAGTATACCGGGAAACTGTCGATATTTACCGACAGAGGAGCCGGTATACCGAAATCCTTCGAGACGCTGCCGAATACCTATACATCCCGATTATTAGCATGGTTATCGGTTAAACCGGTAACCGGGAAACCAATTACTACCCCTACTAATAAAATAGAATGTCTTAGGTTCATATCACACAAACTACCACTTATATACTAGCGTTTCGCCCCGCCAGTTGGCCGAATGAGGTTTGTTATCATGCTAGTAGGCGTAATGTAAGCAAGATTGTCAAATCGATTTAAATGTATGAGGTAATCAAGTAAGTGATTTAACATTCAAGAGTCAAAAGATGACTACCAACCCTTTTCCTTCTCACTTTCCTCCATAAAACACCATTTTCCTTCTAATTTCCTTCACCTCCAAATCTCCCCTCCCCTCCTAATTTTCCTTCACCTCCCCTCCTTTTCCTCCCTTCCTTCGGAAACAGAGGGTTAATCATTAGCCAACCTGTTGAATTCGGATTTTAGTAAAGAATTCATCTATTATTGAATTTAAAATTTTTACTAATATATCACTTGAATAATTCTTTGTTCACAAAAAAAAAATTGAATAATTCTTTGAAGAGATTATGCTTATTTTTAATTTTTTCTCTTCATTTTTAGGGATGACAACGGGTTCGAGTGGTTCCGTTTTTCCTATATATTGTCCCCAAACCACGTTATTAAATTGTAATCATCCCCTTAACCAAAATTCTGTGGGGATGTAATATAATATACAAACCAACTTATATGTGGTTAGGGGAAACCGACGCTTACTATACCCAAATAAATTTATATAAACTTCTAAATATATCTAAAAAAATTAGAATGCCAATATTAATTGACTTTTTGTCTGTGTTGTTTGTAAAATTGAGAGACTAGTGATAAGATTTGAGATTTAAGTAAAGACCAATGTTTAAGGGATATAGACGAACAAAGTGTTTAAGTGAGTGAGTATAGAGCTTACTGTAAAAGAAAAAGAGTGAATATAGAACATAGTTATGATGCATATTATAGTGGATTTGCTACGGATACTTAAAATACCAAAATCATACCAAACTCATTACCCTCCTTACTGAGAGCGGGAAAAAATCATCAAAACATAATAACGATCGAATTTTTTATATCTTGCCATCCTACTCCATTTTGGTTGTAATAGCTAAAAAGTGCAGCCTTTTCTTAAAGTTATGAAGGGATTTTTTTTGGTGAGAAGTTATGAAGGGATTAATACCTCGGTTTCTAAAAAACTACTATTAATATTTATTTTTGCCAATGAAATGCTTAGTTCTATTATTAACATTTAATTTATGTCCTCGCTTTCTTGGAAAATAATTTTGTGGGCTTGCTTCCAATGGCTTGAAGGCTTTAGCGGGCCTAACTAATCGGCAGGCAAAGTGAGGCGCTGTCGCTTATTATAATTATATATTTTGTCCAAAACACCCTTCCGTAAAATAGGGACTGAGTTTTGATGGCTGACGTGGCAAAAACGCGATTTAGAATGGATTCGCGCAAAATTCGCGATTTCTTGTCGACTGGAGCGCGATTTTAGCTGGGGAGTTCACGAATCTATTTCACAGGAACAAAGCAGAAGAGAGGAAGAGTAATTGTAGTCGGTGATGACTGTCGATCTGTCATCTGTAAAGGAGATAGAATTGTCGGTCGGATTGATGGAGGAAGACAGAAAGACTGAAAAATGTCGGATCTGTATTTGAAAGAGACTTTGTTGATCAGGGAGATCTGGAACTGCAGGGGAGACTTTTGATCGGCAGCCGATGAGGTATCGCAGTTGAATTCACACACAAGCTGAGTGGGAATCACCATCAGATCTTGTTTGAAGGGATTGGAAGGTTGTATGAAGAAGGGGAATGTGTCGATGAAAAGAAGGGATTGAGAGAGGAGGATGTTGCTGGCATGAGGAAGAAGAAAGCAGGGACCGAGTCGGGCAGTCGACAACTGCTCGTTTAGTTTTTTGAGTTTTAACTGCAGCCAATTTCGGGCTCATTAGTTGGGGGTTAATTCGCTAAATATAGTTTTTTTTTAATTTACCACGAATATTGTGTTTTTAAAAGTATTTACACCAATATTGTGTTTTTATGAGGAAAGTTGGCAACGGCGCCCGAGACTCAGCAAATAGAGATTTTTAAGCTGAAGCCAGCGAGGGCGCCCCAGTCTATGGCGCTGGCGCAATTTGAAATTTTTGAAAATTTCAAATTGCGGCAGCGCCATAGACTGGGGCGCCCTCGCTGGTTTCCTTTATTTTTTAATTCCTCCATCGTCCAGCACCAGACACCCCCACCCATTTCATCCCTTCCCTTTCCCTCACCTCCTCTCATCCTCCCTCCATCCCCTCCAACCCTACCAGCGCCGACGCCAACAACCGAGCGGCGAAGCCCAGCAGTTGGCGGCAACCCCCGGCTGCAGAGGAAGAGGCCGAGGCCGGCGTGGCGGCGGCGGTGACGGCGGCGGCGGCCAACGATACAGGGGTATGTTCTAGCCGGCGGCGGCCGGAATCTCGCCGGCAACGGCTTTTTCCAGTTCTAATTTTTTTTATGTTCTAATATATTTTTTTTATGTTCTAATATTTTTTTTTCCAGTTCCTAGGCTTATCGATCCTTGTTCGATGAGACCACCACCTGCGACGATCGATACAGCACCGATGGAACCGGAACTTCTTTGGGGGCATGGTCACCATCGAATCGACGCTGTTTGGGCAAATGAGGTAAGTTTTTTCAAACTATTTCTATAGTTTTATTAGCTGAATAATATGATAGAATAGAATTAAATTAAATTACGATTGTAATTAAATTAAATTAGGAATAGAATTAGATTAAGTTACGATTATATTATATTAGAAAAAGTTTAGTTTAGATATATAAATATAAATATTAGGTGAATTGAAGGAATTGAATTAATATAGTTTTGTGCATTAATTATAGGCTGGTGATCGACCATTCCACATTCGTCATACTGGAAATTTAGTCCGATACAGTCCACTGTACCTGCCGTATCTCGTTGATGCCGGCCTGTCTAGTGTTCTGCCACTAGCTCCTCTTACCGGTGATCCGGGTTTGATTACTGCGCTTGTAGAGCGTTGGCGACCCGAGACATCGACATTTCACATGTCGTTCGGTGAGGTGACGATCACCCTAGAGGACGTTGCGACACTCACCGGATTAGCGATGGACGGTGATGTCGTCGTAGTAGACATACCCGACGAGGACTGGTCGGGTATGTGTCTTCGACTGTTAGGACAGGCTCCTACTGATCTTGGTGGCGGCGTCATCCGGATTTCTTGGCTGCGGGAGACTTTCGATGAGCTGCCGCTTTCTGCATCACCCCAGACGATAGAGCAGTTTGCAAGAGCGTATGCGCTGTCTCTGATGGGAGGTGTCTTGTTCTCCGATCGGTCTGGAGGTTCAGTCCACCTGCAGTACCTACTTTTGGTGGAGGATTGGCACAGAGCGGGGAGGTTTGCTTGGGGAGCAGCTGTGTTGTCATACTTGTACCGTGAGATGGGTAGATCGGCGCTGCAGATGACGGCATCTTCTTCACTGGGTGGTGACTTTGGTGGATGGGCCGCCTTGCTGATGATCTGGACGTGGGAGCGGTTTCCTCATACATCACCACTACATGCGGTGACGGGTGAGCAGATTACTCAGGACGCAGTGCCACGTGGCCTTCGGTGGCTTCCGGCCCACACCCGTCAGCATGGAGATCAGTTCTACTTGTACAAGTTGTGGTTTGACGAGTGCACGACATTCGTGGTTAGTATATATCATTTCGTTTTATAGAATAGTTTTAATTGATTTGTTATAGATTTAGGAGTAATTATGTGACCAATCCTTGTGTGCAGTGGCGTCCGTACTATCATAGAGGTGTGGACTACAGCGGTACTGTGGTCCAGTCCCACACGTTTCGAGCAGTTGTTCCGTTGATCTGCTTCTCATCGCAGATGTGGCATCATCCAGATCGCGTGCTCGGATAGTTTGGGATGAGACAGGATCGGCCTCATCCTCCACATTCTGCGGCTGAGATTAGATTATTTCTTCGTCAGGGACAGCATGGGCCTTCACGTGGACAGCAGTTCATACAGGCAGCCAGCGAGTCGATTGAGCTGTGGGACCGTCGACATGAGTTCGTAGCGCAGACGAGCTACACTAACGAAGAATTAGCTTACCACTCGGAGCATCTAGAGTGGTACAGAGATGTCACTAGACGTTCAGGCACACGGAGAGTTGCTGCACTGAACGCAGCGGTGAGTTTTTTTAGTAATTAAAATTTGTGTTTTAATTGTTTTTAGATGTATAGAATTTCTGATATTTTCCATTTAAATTTGCAGTACGACTCCATGGAGTCCGTTCAGCAGGGTTTACGTGATGGGATGAGATCAGGAGGGCTAACATACGACCAGATGGAGGATTATGTTGACCAGTTGGCGGCAGGGGTTACAGCTATAGGTTTTAGTGGTCGCCAACATACTGATACAGAGCCGATACAGCGGTACCCCGATGAGCGCATCTTAGCTAGCTGGCCAGAGCGTAGGACTCAGTCATCGGCCTGGGGCGTGCCACCGCCACAGTTCACAGAGGAGTCCAGGAGGAGAAGACAGCGACGTGAGCAGCGTGACGTACCTCGAGGAGTGAGGTACTCTGATCGTCAGCCCTTCAGACCTACATCGACCTTCACATTCCAGCCAGTCATGCCTACTTTTACCGGATTTCAGGCAGGCACCAGTTCCTCTAGCCCTCAGTTTCAGGCACAGGAGGATAGCTTTCACACACCCCAGCATACTACGATGGGAGGCGGGCACATGGGATCAGGTAGTACAGACCTGCATTTGGACGTCGATGAGTGGGAGCGTGTCGATCAGCAGCTTCAGGGTCAGGTCTTCCAGACATCTAATTGGGCATATGAGCAGCAGCGACGAGAGGGTGCACCGGATGAGCATGTTCAGTCTCAAGTAGATGATCTGTTCGGCACACAGGATCAGGATGATGGGCCGGAGAGAGATGAGCAGTTGCCTCCACGAGACAGGAGGCCAGCGAGGTGTGGTACTGGCGGCCATCTAGTGGCAGAGCACGGTGGTCGTCGTGGTGGTCGGCGTGGTGGTTGAGGACTATTTATTGTTATGTAATTATGTACTTCATTGAGACTATTTTTATGTTCGTTGTGACAATGCATTATTATTATGTACTTCCTTGAGACTTTTTATTGTTATGTTCTTATTTTGGACTATTTTTAATCTTATGTTCTTAGTGCTATTGTCTAAATTGAGACTTTAAATATAAAACCAGCAAACATCAACAACTAGTTCAGTTCATAAAAGTCCAAATAACAACTTCAAACAACAACTTCTTCAAATAACAACAACTCCAAACAACAACTCCAAACAACAACAACTCCAAACAACAACAACTTCTGCGAGATAAATTGAAAGAAAAACAACAACTTGCTACATTCGAACTAACTTCTCAGCCACGTATATTCCCTCTACTTCCTCCTCTTCTACCACCTCTCGCACTTCGTTGGCCACCACTCCCTCTTCGGTTGCTCCCACTCCCACTTGCTTGGCGACCACAGGTTGATGCATTATGTCCCGCTTGGTTACAGTTGCTACACACTTGCTGTGATGAACCTTCCCGACTTTCTAATCATGTCCAGACTAGGATGGAGAGTAGGGTCATTATGCTTCTTCCAACCCTTAGGTTCACCAAGAGGTGCGAAACTTGTCCCATAACAAGCCATCACTGTTTCCAGCTTGTAGACATTGTTGACAAACCTATACGCATTAACACCCATTCGGTTGCAAGCTGCAATGGCATGAGAGCAAGGAATTTTATTTCCTTGAAATTTACCACAGGTGCAAAATCCCGTCCGGTTGGGGTCGTCAAAGTGCACTGTGAGTGTGTTTGACCCCGTCATGTTGAAATTGTTGGGAGGAGTCTGAACTACATAGATGCCTTGAGCTCGATCAAGAGCTGTCACAGAATGTCCAACTGCCTTTTGTGACCACGCCTTCATCAGCTCTTCGCACTTGGTGGAGAATTGTGAAGGACCACTCCTAATTTCTGCTCCTGTCTCCAACCTGTACTTATCGAATTTCTCCACCAATCGCCAATAGGTATGTTGCACAAGAGAAGCCATAGGAAGTGCACGAATACCTTTGAAAATACCATTGACGCTTTCTGCCATGTTGGATGTCAGGATAGACCAACGACGCCCACCATTGTAGTTATCGTGTGCTAAACTCCAACGAATCTGATGTTGATCCACCCAGTTATCACATGAAATATTTCTATCGGCGGCCACCTTCTTAAATTGCTCAACTTGACGATCAAACTTCTCCAACCGTTTTTCTCCGGCTAACAAAATAAAATAAACCACCACACGGGTTAGATAAATTCATGACAAAATTAAATCAAAACAAGTAACAAAATTATATGAAGAAAGCTTACCGACTCGAAATAGTTGATTATACATAATTCTGCTTTTAGTCTTCCTTTGCAAATTGCTTGCATAGTGTCGCATGCACCACCTCCACTCCCAACCTCTTCCGATGTTATTCATGGCTTCATAGAGTCATGCATGTCTATCTGAGATGATGCATACATCATTTCGATCAGTCAAACCCTGAACGTGAGTTATGAACCATGGCCAACTATCAGTATTCTCACTCTCCACTATGGCAAATGCAATTGGAAAAATCTTCTTCCGTCCATCAAATGAGCTAGCCATGAGTAGCACTCCTTTATACTTCCCAGTAAGAAATGTTCCATCAACAACCATAATGCCTGGACAATTCTTGAATCCATCTATACTCGGTCCATAAGCCCAAAATACTCGCTGAAATATTGAATGACCTGGTTGAGTTGAAGGAACTCTTACCCAATGAATCACCGATGTTGGCATTTTTCTCTTGACCACCCGCAAGAATGTTTGCAAAAAATCATAGGATTCTTCCCAATTTCCATGCAACTTCTCCAATGCTCTTTGTTTCCCATACCAAGCCTTCTTGTAAGTAACTTGCATATTAAACTTATCTTTCAACTTGGCCTGAACAGTTAGAACACTCAGATTTGGTTGGGCACGTACCAAGTGTTTGACGGCCTCAGATATCACGTCGACATCAAGATGGCGATGATCCGTCTGTTGAGTCGTACTGCTACAAGTATGCACCAACTCGACCTTTCTCACGCTCCAATCGCCTCCCATTTCTCGACATCCAAACCGCACCATCCAAGGACATTTGTCCTCCTTGTGCATCAAACATCTGATCTTCCAGATTGAAGGTGACGACTCCACCACGTTATACTAAAAGTTGTGTTGTAGTGCATAGTGTTTCATCGCCACCTGTGCAGCTTGTTTCGAGTGAAATATTTGCCCCTTGTAGAATTCTCCATCAAAACCACCAACAGTAGACCCTGGAATTACGCCATATGAATCAGCATATGATAATTCCTCGTCCTCTTCATTACCCTGCAAGTAAAAATATGGAGGAAAATTAGGTTGTTCTCCTCCCTCCCCGTCGTCGTCGTCGTCCTCCTCCTCCTCCTCATCGTCTTCCTCATCTCCGTCATCACCGTCATCATAATCATGATCGGATGGCATGCTCCATGTGTCATCATCGTCATCATCGTCTTCCTCTCCACCCCGATTCTCACTGAGCTCAGCATGTATCTCAGCACCCAAACAATAAGGATTTTGTGCCATAAAATTCCAAAGCACATTTAAGCTATCATCATCGACAATAGGCATTGCATAATGAAATAAAATACCATTCTGCCATTCTGGAAGACAGTAGGTGAAACCTGTAATCACAACACTATCTTGTACTGTTTCGTCTCTAATCCGTATTCTCCGAATTAGATGATCACAAAGTTTCTGATAGTTCACCCTGGATGGAATAGTCATCTGGAAACTAAGACCACCAACAAAATGGACACCCAAATTGTCTTCTACTTTCTCTGATCGCCACCGAACAGCTAGTTCAAATCTTCTAAAATCACTACATAAAAAACAAACTCACTAATTACATTACTAACTAGACAAAATCATTACGATGAATACATGAAAAAAAAATTACGCCTCTTACCTGTTATTAGCCATCTTCCCAGCAACCAGACAGCAACACTTGAGCTTTTTTCAGAACTTCTTTCAGTTTTTTGGTGATGAAGAACCGAAGGAAAGGTGCAGTATATATGGTGAGGGGTGGTGCAGGAGTGGAACAAAATGGCAGCGATAAAGCCCCAGTCTGGGGCGCCGTCGCTATTACCTTCTATAAAGCGACAAAGCCCCAGTCTGGGGCGGGGCCGCTATGTTTTTTTGTTAAAAAATCACCCAGCGGCGGCGCCTGAGTCCAAGGCTTTGGCGCTTTAGACATATCAAAAAACACAATATTGGTGTAAATACTTTTAAAAACACAATATTCGTGGTAAATTAAAAAAAACAATATTTAGGGAATTAACCCATTAGTTGGGTCATTTAAAGTTTTTATCACTGCAAGTATATTGGGCTATGCAAGCTCTATTGTGGGTTGTATTTGTGTTGTACCTGTACTGTTGTTACGTATATTAAGTAGGGAAATTTAGATATTTTGTTCTTAATTTTTATTTGGTTTCACCTTTTAGTTTTAGGTAATTAAAGACATTGATGTAGCGGTATTCATAGAACTTTGAAGTAGAAGTTGTCTCATTTTCCATTGATGTGGGAGTATTAGTCTCAAAATATAGTATTATTTTAAATAATATTCTAATTAAAATAATATAATATTAACTCTCTATTGGCGCTCTGAATTTATAAGTCTTTAAGAATAGACGCTCTCGCTCCCGCTCCCGCTCCACAAATCGGTAAGCTAAAATCAAACTACTACTAGAAGTTGGATAATCCTTTTTCTAAATTTAAAGGGTGTATCCCCTAGATCCTCGTCCCCTGCTTCTTGTGAAGGTTTTAATCCTTTTCATTAGGTGTAATAGTGTTTCGTAATACAATATTAGTAGGAGATTTAATGGAACGGTTCATTTAGTGAAAAAAAGCTCATTCATCAGCAAATCAATTAGTTATCAACTTTTGTATTTGATTCCTTAATGCATTTTGTATAGCATTTTTTGGATTATTGAGAAATAGTAAAAAAAAGTTATTGGGATAAAATCTCATATGATATGCATTTTTTTATCAACCATGCTCTACTGGTTTTACGTAGAAATACCCTATAGTGTAGAAACATTATCATGCACTTCTTTTATTTTTTTCATACAAAACCCGTTAATAACGGATGAAATTGTTGTTCGAACTACCTGACCTTGATAAATGGGAGGTCAAATATCAATTTTTTCCTTCCATTTGTTTCTATAAGCTATGTTAAAGTGAAATTATAAGAGGTATTAGGCCATATAAAATTAACTTAAAATGTCAAAGCGAAATTATTAGGGGTATTTTTAGACATTTATATTGCCCAAAGTATTGTTCGACCGTGGTTAACCGTTTTTTGGATGGTAATTTTAATATAGAGGCATGTTTCATAATATTTATAAAATTCAAAGATATATTTATATATAAATCAAATTGCAAAAGACATGTTTAATAAAAGTGCGCCATAGGTTCAAGTTGTTAAATTGGTTTATACTGTAATGCATGTTTGACAAGTGGTATGGACCAACCGATGGTACAATCAATTCATGTCAGTTTTTGTAAAATATGTAGAAAAGTGAAAAAATCAGTAATACTAAATGACTTTAGATATTATATACAACATATTTTTAAATAGATTGACAGTTGCTCAGGGATTCTCAGTTTACATCAGACGAGGAATCCCATCTCATGTCGAGGGTCAACTCGTTCTGCTGTCTGCTGCAGAAAGATCCAGTCCCAGCATGCCACTTTCTGTCCAAGAACCCAGAGTGATTCTGCCGAGGTAGACAAGTGTGAAAGAACTATAGCTGGAATTAAGGAAGCAGCACCCACCGTCTCTAGCATCTGAAGGTGAGGTCAAAAGTGGCCGTCTGTACAAGGATGCTGCTCCTGCAACTACGCCCCGGAACAACTCAATCGGAGAGCTTCTTCTCGACCTTCCAGGGGTTGCCTCTGTGCCAAGATTCCTGCCCAACATGTAAAGAATACAGTCCGAGGGTTGTAGTGGGGGTTCTGTTATTTGCAACCATGAAGGATCCTATAATGTTGTGTCCAGTGATTGGTTGATATGTTTGTACATTCGTATGTAGCGCCAAGGAGTTGAAACTGGGTTTCACCTGTAAAGTTCTTAGGCCATTGTGTAGTTTTCTGTCCCTATTTGCAGTGAAAAAGTTCGGCTGTGTTTGCTTTGGATAAAAAGATACAGGTAGAAGATACACTCCGAATGCTAGAATCAACCTATGAACTTTGGGGCAAAATCCCATTTGGTCAAAATTTTGGAGACATTGTACAGATGAGAACACTCTCAATTCCAAGGGAGAACAGAAGTAAACAAAGGGTAAAGCAAGGAATAAACAAACCATATATGAACCCCATTTCGCAAGGTCGCCACAAAACAGAAAACTTCAGAAACTAATCAGATGACCCCTTACCAGAAATGTTGAATGATTACTAAAGCTGTGATATCTCTTTCATTCATGCATATTCTGAGGCTAACTAATCAATATATAGGTGTGGCAACTATCTGTGATCTGCACCAACAGCTTCAATGACAGATTTGAAACCATCTCGTTCCAAGCATCCTGCTAGTTCAGACTGTTCAACACAAATCAATATTACCCGATTCATGTTAGGATATAACTCAAACTTGCAACTTCAGCAGTTAAGTTCTCTAATCGAGGTTATGGGAATGGGGCTGAAACTGAAACAGGGTAGATCAGAAGAAATGTACCTTTATTTGAGGAATTAATGCAGGACCTCCATAAGCAAATGCAGTATATAGCTGGACGAGAGTTGCTCCAGCTCGTATTTTCTTGTATGCATCCTCACCACTAATTCAATGGTAACATGGCAACGACTTCAGGAAAACGGGACAAAGAAGTACAGGAAAAACTGAGAATGAAAATTATAGGAATTGTCACCTGCTAATACCTCCGCAGCCTATTAGAGGAATCTTTCCCTGACAATGATAAAAATCGGAGCATAAACACATCATTCAAAAGACGCGTACTGTATGTCTGTATTCTAATTCTTAACAGAGACTATCACTATAACAATACGGGAAAAAGCGGCCTTCCTAAATTCAAAGACATTAATGAAGCTAACAACGATAACCATTTAGGCAAAATGCAGCTCAACTTGATCATGGTATAATCCTATCCACCAAATAACCTTTCCTAAAGCAAAAATGGGGAGTTCCATATCTTATTAGTTTAACAAAAATCAGCATCTGTATATCGGTACTAATTGATGGCAGTTTTAGGTAGCTCTGTTTTTACTTTTTATGGCAGTTTTATCATATGCAAATTGCAAACTGAAAGATGTGTTCTCTAAAAAAAAATTAAAGAGGCAAAATTCTGAAGGTGAACCACCATACTCTTGTCAAAATGTACATCTCCTTCAAGATACTGTTAGAGAGATCGAAAAGAGGCTTCCCGCTTAGACCACCAGTTTCTTTGGCCAAAGGGTCGTTCATCACAGCATCAGGCCTTTGTATTGTTGTATTTGAGATTATCTGGCCAAACGTGCAACGGAAGGGTAAGTGATAAAAACCAAAAACAAGAATTCACAGAACAATTTAGTCATTCGTCAACATAATGTTGCACAAAAAGAAAGTACTGGAGAACCAACAATAAATAGCTTATGAAGGTAACTCCATATCACAAATGTAATGAAAGAAAATATTGAGCTTTAAATGGAAGTGCATCCTACAGCAAATGCTATGCAGAGACATCAGAATGTTCTGCATAACTGATTTATGGTATATCTTCCATGAAATGCATATATAAATTCATATAGGATCAAGTCGAGAACCAAACCATTTACTGTCATCGGATCTTAGTATTAATATTGAACACCAACAACCATAACAATTGATACCCTGCTGATTAAAGCCGAAAGAATTGAAAACGGTGAAATATAGGTAGAAAGATACACATGTTAACAAGAATTTGAATGTGTTGCATCAGGTATCACTCTCAGTTCTAACACTTGAAACCATTGTAAAGTGAAATCTTGGTATTACACAAGCAACCAAATACACACTTAAGCAACACTGTACTTTAAGGACAACCATTTCTAAAAACCATAAGATGTATGGTTCTAGCTGAAGAAAAGAAGGAAAAGTTGCGGAAGGTGAAGGTTATACCAGTCCATCTAGACGGAGAGCAACAGCAACCTGCAGGCAAGCATAGAAAAGAAACTGTGAGATCTAAGGTAAGGGGTTAAAAGACAAATAAAACAGATGCATTATGTACCGCTGCAATGTCTTCCAGGTCTTCTTTAGACAAGTCTGGTGCAATTTTAACGAGCAAAGGTGGTGGACCCTCTTCACCCCATTGCATTTCATCACGAGCAGCTTGAATCTGGGATGAAGGAAGGGGGGAGATATGTGAGGGGAAAATAGCAAAACTGCTGCTCGCTATGATTTGTGATGAGAAATTTTACTGAAGTAAAATCCATGTCATTAATGTTTGATACCTTTTTCACAAGATCCTTCAACTGTTTCCTACCCTGAAGAGTACGCAACCCAGGGGTATTTGGTGATGAAACATTTATAACCTACAAGTGACAAAAACATATAAAGAAACTAAATATACTTACTTCGGCATCTGTAACCCAAAGGCAACAGTTTAAGCATTAGATCGCACAGGAGTAAAATGTAATGTTCTTAGCATCAAAAGAATGAAAAAAGATATATAAAACATGAACTAATACCATTACGGAAGCAACTATCAGGCTAGCTTAGACAATTAGTGGCAAGCAATAATGATCCGTGCGAATTATAAAAAGATAGGCATACATAATGAATTTGACACATGAACTATGAGGATTGTGTAAAGTAGGACTAATACAATAGCAAAAAGAATAAATGGAGTAGCTTTAACGAGCAGTCTACCAAGTAATCTGCATACTGGGATAATGTATGCACGCCCTGTACATAATCTGATGCAGCATCTTCACTTTCTTTGTTTTTTCCAAGATTAACCCCCAGAATTCCCGGACCAGCTTTACCTCCCTGTTTGACATCATCATTAGTTGGAGGTGCAGTGCTTGAAGTTTCAGCCAACTTCCTCTTCCCATGCTGAGCACCCAAACGCTTTGCAACAGCTACAATACCTTCACTATTAAATCCGCAACGGTTGATGATTGCACTGCGCGCAGAAACAAGAAACTATGGCATTCAGTTACAAGTTTGAGACTTCTAGCGGATACTTGCATGAAGAAAAAAGTCACATTCTTACCCTTCTTGACGCAACCTAAAGATACGAGGCTTGGGGTTGCCTTCTTGTGGTACAGGAGTTACAGAGCCAACCTCGATGAAGCCAAAGCCCAAAGCAAGCAAGCCTTCAACAGCCTCGGCATTTTTATCAAATCCAGCAGCTAGACCTACTGGGTTCGAAAACTTCCTTCCCCACACTTCCAGTTCCAAAACTGGTGCATCATGCCTCTTCTCCCTTGGCACCCACCCTCGAGCAGCAGCAGACACTGCTAGTCTATGAGCAGCCTCGGGATCGAGAAGGGCGAAGAACGGATTCACAAGCTTCGTGGCATCAAACAGCCAACCACTGCAAATTGGTAAACGAAGCTTATAAGCAAAGATAAGCTTCTTGGCGAAATAATGAAGACATGGAGAAGGTATTGAAGCATTTCACAATGAGGTACCAGAATGTTGCTTCATCCACTGTACTCACATAAGCTCCCCCAGCTATAACCAATCCAAGAGTGGCCCCGGTCAATAGCCTTCCCTGCAGAGGCAGAGTAATGTAAAAAGACGCTACATTCGCACCAACTAAAAATACCCAAGTCGTTTGCTTGGGGTTGAAAACGTGAAGCGAAAAAAAAAAAAAAGAGAGAACCTTTTTGGGCAAGTGAGGAATTTTCGAAGTCTTTCCGGTGGCCGAAGATGAACAGAAGCGTCTGGCGAGTGCTCCCCCAGCTCCCATTCCTCGATTCGCAGCTGCATGTTGAGAAGAAGCGACTGTTCTCTGTACGAACCCTCCGAGTAACCGCTTCAGAGGCATTACCGCCATGGATGAACTATAACAATGCGAGAACCCTAATGAAATTGTCCAAGCAGAGAACCGAAAGGAAATCGAGCAGAAACTAACGAGAATCCCGAAGTTGAAACGCGGACCACCACGATCCCTAGTCTACGACAAACACCAGCGACGGCGGCGAGGGACAATCTTATTATCAGCGCAGCGATGGGAGCCAAAAAGGAGAGTAGCTACCGAAGTCGAGCTACAAGCTACACTTTGTCAATTGAACAGGTGAAGTTGCTGGCGGTTCGAGCATGAAGAGAACGAAACAGCTCGATTCTGAAACCAGATTCCTATTTCCTACCGAGGTTTATTTCTTCTCTTACAAGGACTCGGGTGTCCTCGTTCTCCCATAAACCTTGTTTGTAATTCTTAAAAGGGTTAAAACTTAAAGGTATACTATACCGTTTTATCAAACATGCTCCTCTACTATTTTTTACATCAAACATGTCCCTGTATTTTGAAAAAATTATCAAACATGACCTTCTGGTAAAATTTCCATTGAAAGAATCGTCAATCATGGTTGAACTGAGATTTAGACGACCCGACATCGACAAATGGGAGCGATAATGTCCGTTTTGTCTCCCGTTTTATGTCTCTGGGTCTCTTTAAAGTGAAATTATTTGAATTATTTGGCTATACAAAAGAACAAAAAAAATTCTAAAGTGAAATTATTAGGGATATTTTAGACATTTGTGCCGCCCAAACCAAAGTTCGACCTTGGTTAATGGTTTTTGGATGAAAATTTAAACAAAATGGCATGTTTGATCATTTTTACAGAGTACGGGGGGCATGTTTGATGTAAAAAATAGTAGAAGAGCATGTTTGATCAAACGTCATAGTCGAGGGGCATATTATCCCTATAACCCTTCTTAAAATAAAAGTGTAGTTTTGCCCAAAATTCAGCGTGATTGCAGACTCAAGACCTAATCTTTCATTTTGTCAATTTCTTCATAATCCTTCCCAAAAACTTAGGGCTTGTTTGCTTGATGGATTTGGTGAAAGATTTGGTGATGGATTTGGGTTATTGATGGACTTTGTTCAAAATTGATTGTTTGTTTCAAGTATTGAGGGGTCGTTTGCTTCGTGTATTGAAAAATGAAGGTTTTGGTATAACTTGGGTTTTGATAAACCATGGATATATGAGGGTTTTGGGTTCATTATGGATTTGAAAGAGACCATTGTTTGTTTCATGGATTTCATTATGAATTTTGTTAATTAAATTTGTATGTATGAAGTGAACTTTAGATTTATTGCCTGATATAAGAAGAGAAAGAAAATATGAGGAGTTGGTTGATAAAAAATAATGGACTTCAAAGTCCATAATCAATTCCCACCTAAAGAGGTGGGATTTTCAAGTCCGTGAGGCCCACGGAAATGGACCCTCAAGTCCATGGTTGTCGAAAAAGTTAATCTGCTAACTTGAAGATTCGTTAGCAGATACTAACTGATATCCAAAATACATAAAATAGTATCCAAGTTCTAAAGTATATAGGGAGCACAGTCTAGTATTCAAGGTTTGCTAACTGATATCCACCATGAATCAACTATTATCCCAAATTCACAAATTAATATCTAGACAACACAGAATAGTATCCATACAACACATAATTAGTATCCAGATAACACATAAGAGTATCCATATTGAATACTAGTTGGTTTGATTGTGGATATTAGTTAGTAATTGATTGGCTAAATACTAATTATATGAGTTGGATACTAGTTTTGTGATGTTTTGAATACTAGTCTATGCTATTTAGATACTTTAGTAAAATAAGCAAACTTGGATACTAGTTCATACATTTTGGATATTAGTTAGTATATACTAACAACTTATGCAGTTAGTAGAATAACTCTATTGGTTGCTTGCATGATGGATTTGGTGATGGATTTCTTACCAAATCCAATTCATTAGACCATTTCCAATGGGGAAAGACCAAAATTAAAAATTCACCAAGTTACACTTTTTCGGCATATCTAGTTTAGAGTAGATTTCATCATTTTCACATAATTTGTTACTTATTTTTATATAAGTAGTAATAATTAATTAAGAAAAACATATTGATATAATTTTTTAATTTAGACTAATTTTCTCATTAAAAATTGCATCATCAATAACGAAATCACAATAGTTAGTCCTGATTGTCGTAGATTCTTCACATGTGTGTCAGAATGAGTTGTGACATCAACTACTTGTCTAACTTTAATCATAATGAGCTATTTCATCCAACTGTAATCAAATTGAGTTGTACGATCAACTGTTTAGTCAACCTTGACCATATTATAGAGATGAATCTTTTTGTTTCTGTATAAATGAAGGCTCAAACTTAGTCATTCTACACACCCACCATTCAACCTTTAGTCTTGAAAAAACCATCCAACCTTCATAAATTTATGTAGCCACAAAAAAACTCTTGTTGCTCTATGTATTCTTTGATAGTAAGATGAGAAGAGGCAAAGGAAAGCCGATGACAGGCAGTGGGAGTATGAGTGACAGTTTGAGCGTGAACATATGGAGAAGTTCATGATTCACAAAGACCTCATGCACCGACAAGAAGCAACATCATCTTAGCGTTGTTCATCATCAATAAAATTAGTGATGCGTAGCAAGGAAGAAGCTCACAAGAAGTTGATGCAAGATTATTTCAGTCCTAATCCAACCTGCGATGTTAGGACATTCACAAGGTGATATCGGATGCCCCTGTCTTATTCAACCGTGTCATGAGTGATGTTCTCCAATAGGATGTCTACTTCAAGCAAAGAAAAGATGCTCTAGGTCGTGATTCATTCTCGCCACATCAAAAGCTTACCAGTGTCTTTTGAATGCTAGGGGTTGGATGCTCAACAGACTCTCTTGATGAGACCTGTTGAATGGGTGAGAACACTACACTGGAGAGTGTGAGGAAGATTTGCTCCACCATCACCGACATTTATGGTGCTCAGTACTTGCGTGCACCAACAATGAAAGATCTTTGTCTCCTCCTTGATCATAGTGAACAACGTGGATTCCCGGGTATGATTGGTTCTATTGATTGCATGCACTGGGAGTCGAAGAATTGTCCGACTTCTTGGGCAGGCTAATTCACCAGCTACGAGAAGAAACCAACCATTTTCCTAGAAGTTGTGGCACCGTACGACACTTGGATTTGGAATGCCTTCATTGGAACACCTAGGACGAACAATGACATCAACACTCTTGGAGTCTCCCTACTTTTCAATCAAGCAGTGCAAGAACTCGTTCCCAATGTCACTTGTGAGGTAAATGGTAATGTATACGATCAATGTTATTACTTGGTTGATGGAATTTATCTTGAGTGGGAAACATTTGTGAAGGCTATTAGGAATCCAAGTAATCAGAAAAAGAATTTGTTTGCAAAGTACCTAGACACTTACCGCAAAGATATTCAGAGAGCCTTCAACATACAACAACAAAATTGGGCCATTATTAGTGGGCCGACTCGTGTTTGGGACGTGCAATCACTCGGTGATATTATGCTAACTTGTATTATTATGCACAATATGATATTGGAAGATCAACAGTACGAGTATAGAGATGGGGCCATGGTGAACATTGAATATGAGAGCAATCCAAATGTCATATGGGAGCCACCTGAGCATAACATTCCAACTCTTATCGAGTTTATGGAAAGACATAATAAGATTCGTGATCAAGAGGGACATCACACATTGATAAACGATTCGATTGAGCATTTATGAGTGAGAGATGGATGAGAGTATAATGTGATTGTCGAAATAAAGAAAGTTGCATTCCCTATGTTTCTTCATGTATTGCCTATGTTATCTTATGTTATCCTGATTTGTTCTAATGGTATCTTAATGCATTCCCAATGTTTACTTAACGTATTTTCAAAATAAAATTAGTATTTAACAACTTCAAAGTAATATTCATAAAACAACCAACTAGTATTAATAATTGACGAATTACAATCGAAATAAAGCATTAAATCAAACTTGTAAAAGCAATACACTCCAAATAAAACAATACAATAGTACACTTAAAATGTTAAATGCAGGGTGCATATTCATCATATGAGTTATAATTTGATCCTCTTGAAGTCAAACTTGGAGTGGTTTCATATGAAGCCAAAATCTCATCCTTCTTCCTTTGATACCAAGCTCTAGTTCGAGGACTCAATTTAGAAAGATCCATATGCATTACCTTCATCTCATGCATGTCCTTCTCCCTCAATTTTCTTGCAATTCACATTCCTCTTTTGCTATTGCTAATCTTGCACGCGTGTTTGAATTTTCCACCAAATAGGTCATATTGTTTATCCCAACTTTATATGGAAGAATACACTGTTCCTCCTCCTCCTCCTCCTCCTTCTTCTTCTTCTTCTTCTTATAACGACCTCTAAACGGTTAATAACAAAAGGATATGTGTTTGCTTGAATTTTGCCACTATCACTGTAACACCTTAGGCAAATCCCACACTGACAAAGCACATGAGAGATCCATGGTTCATAAGTAAGAAACCGGCTTTAACTGACAAGACGCGTTTTGGGGTGAAATGAAGGAGTTCTTGTGAGAAATCCGAAGTTAAACGTGCTCAGTGTGGATTACAACAAGGATGGGTGACCTTATGGGAAGTCACCTTGCATTGCACCCCAAGTCGAAAACCATGAGGGTCGAGACCCAAAGCGGACAATATCTTCGTCGGGAAAAGGTTTGGGATGTTACAATCACTTCCCCTGATGTCATGCCAGATGAAGATCCGTCCATAGATGGAATGGGTGCCACAAATGCATAAAATTGTTTCATAAATTTTGGAAAACAATGGAGTATACTCCAACAACACATAAACTTGAATTCTTTTTCGGTGTGCGCTACAAAAATTTGGGTTGTTTGATCAACCTAGTCAGTTAATTTGATTGTAGAATTATGTACAGCCGACATATGATAATAAAAAAGGGTAAATACAATATATTAGCCAGAACTATTAACCAATGAAGAATAATAGCCACAACTATCGAAATACAAAATAATAGTCAACCTTTAACTCTCAAGAGCATAACTCTCGCATTCCTTTCACCATTTCCACCAACTCAGCAAGTCATTTAACTAACAAAACCAATCATGAACCTCCAGATTATTATTCTAATAACCTTGAATTAGTTCGTTCTTACTACCCCTCGAGAGTTCATGCACACATATGGCTTTACAAGGGTACACACTAGGAACAAATTACCATGTACATAGCCAAATCCACACGCCAATTTGGTAGTGACCGCAACTTTAATTAATTAAACAACGAGAGCTTCCTTCTTGCAGCAGTTATGCTCTTGAGACTTTAAAGATGAGCAAGAGTTATGCTATTAAGAATCATGGTGAAGAGCCACCAAAATAAGTTTAAGATGTTAGGGGGATGAATCGTTACAACTCCCCTAACTAAGTTTAAGTTTAAGGAAAGCCTGGCTGGCTTCTCATACGTATGAGTTGGATAATCGGACTAGCTAGTGAGGAATCCCCGTGTCAGTCAAGTATTTAAGTTGAGATTTGAGCTTTAAGAATGGAGAGTAACAGTAGCTCCTATACAACTTTAAGATATTAAATATTTTTAAAAGTGGAAGTACAAACAACTTCCACCAGTTTAAGTTAAGTGTCTTAAGTAAAGTGTTCAAGTACTAGAGATTTTAAACGTAAGAGCGTAGACTGACCCCAATTCACTCACCAGTTTGAAGAGAAAGAGCTAGAGGAGCAGTTAGAGAGCAACCAGGTCGTGAGAAGCAGTTCGAGGGAAGCCAACCAGAGGAGGACGATACGAGCATTACAAAGGATGTCTAGTCAAGTTTTTTAGCAGTGACAACGTTAGAGACTTTTTAGTTATTTCAATTTATGATTATGAGTATAGAATGGAGATTCAGATTAAGGTTCTTAAGGTTTGAGTTTGCCCAAGTGTTAGGGGTTCGTGTTGAAGTAATGTTAGTTCTTTTTAGTATTTATTAAAGTTTTTTATGAAAGTTTTTTTTCCTAAGTATTTTTAGTTCTTATTTTATTTCATGGTTTAACAAGGGTATTTTGGTAAAAGTAGTACCCGGCCGGGTTATGGTGTTACACTCACCATCAATCCACGATTGAGTTTTGGAGACGAGTTGAAGTCGTATTTGTTGCAAAGGGATTTTAGATTTCACGTGTCGACACTGAGGAGGGCACGCCCCATCAATGTTGCTTGCCATCCTCCATGAACGTGGGGCATGCAATGCGTCATTGAGGAGGGCAAGCGTGACACCAATGAGTGGGAGAACCTAAGTGATGTGGTTGGTGTGTGTGTATTTTCTTACACTTTGTTGTTGCGTGTTTATTTTTTTTAGGGTAAATACAATATGTTAGCCAGAACTATATACCAGCAGGGAATAATAGTCACAACTATCGAAATACAAAATACTAGCCATAATTATTGTTACGGGCCAAAATATGGCTAACAACCACTTAACACTAACGGTTTGTTGGACAGATTTACAACTAGATCGACACATCAGCGCCAACTCAATTATACTTTTTTATATTTTTCTTTAAGATTTTAGAAACTAAAAAAATAAAGAAGACAGTTTCTCTCCATCTCCCTGTCTCCGTCTTCTCCCCCGATCCTCCATGTCCGCCCCTCGCAACTCTTCCTACAAGGCATTTTCCGCAGGCTGGGATAACGACATTCACGATGCCGCTTTCGCCTGGCGAAGATGTTGTTTATATTTCCCTAATTTTCTTTAAAAGGAGCCTACTCTAGATGGCAGCGGAGGTGGGGGATAGTCAGGAGCGTTCTCACGGCGAATTAGGCCTTATGATTCTTCTTCATTGGCGACGCCGTGGTCGAAGAGTTGGGAGAAGGTTTGTGGGTTGTTGGAGGGGCCGAGGTGGAAGAATTTGGTCCGGCGGTTTAGTGGAAGGAAGCGACAAGGGCACGAGAAATTCAATTACGACGCTACAAACTACGCCCTTAATTTCGACGAAGGACCTCTGGACAACGATGGCGAATACGACGAGGATCTCCTAGGCCGCGGATTCTCCGAAAGGTTCTCGCTCTCGCCGTCAGCTAAGTCTTCCATGGATTTTGACAACGACAAGGACTCGAATCCGTTCAATTTCAGTTGGCGGGTTTCGGCATAAATCATGTGGCTTTGGATCGAAATCGTCGGGGACAGGGGTGGCGGTTTGATGTTTTGTATTTGTATTCAACAGGGAAGAAGGATTGAAGGAGTAATCGGGAGAAGTGGGTCGAGAATTGAAGGGGTCTGTTCTGCCTTTGGGTAGAGAGGAAAGAGAAAAGAAGAAGGGAAGATGGGGGGGGGGGGGGGAGTGAAAAAGAAACATTGAATATGACTTTTATTTTTTCTAATAATTTATTAATAAATAAGTTACCAAAATTGATCGGATGATGTGGAATTTTTCCTTGACTACCACATCAGAATCTCTCTTTCATGTCAGTATAACATCTACCAACTCACTATCATCTAACGAAAGTGTTGATGGAGAGTTAACGGTTGACTATTATTTTGTATTTCGATAGTTGTCGCTATTATCCCCACTGGTTAATAGTTCTGGCTAATATAATGTATTTATCATTTTTTTATCATCATATGTCGGTTATACATAATTCTACAATAGAATTAACTGACTAGGTTGATCGAACAACACAAATGTGTGTAGCGCACACCGAAAAAGAATTCAAGTTTATGCGTTGTTGGAGTATACTCCATTGTTGTCCAAATTTTATGAAACAATTTTATGCATTTGTGAACCCATTCCATCGATGGGCAGATCTTCATCCGGCATGCGTGATTGTAACATCCCGAACTTTTTTCCGACGAAAATATAGGCCGCTTTGTGTCTCGACCCTCACGGTTTTCGACTTCGGGTGCAATTCAAGGTGACTTCCCATAATATCACCCATCCTTGTTGTACTCCACACTAAGCACGTTTAACTCGGATTTCTCACAATAACTCCTCCATTTCACCCCAAAACGCGTCTTGTCAGTTAAGGTCGGTTTCTTACTTATGAACCATGTATCTCTCTCGTGCTTTGTCAACGTGGAATTTGCCCAAGGTGTTATAGTGATAGTGCCAAAATTCAAGAAAACACATCTCCTTTTGTTATTAACCATTTAGAGGTCAGTATAAGAAGAAGAAGAAGAAGAAGAAGAAGAAGAAGAAGGAACACTGTATTCTTCTATATAAAGTTGGGATAACATTATAGTCTATTTGGTGGAAAATTCAAATACGCGTGCAAGATTAGCAATAGCAAAAGAGGAATGTGTATTTACAAGAAAATTGAGGGAGAAGGACATGCATGAGATGAAGGTAATGAGTATGGATCTTTATGAATTGAGTCCATGAACTATAGCTTGATATCAAAGGAAGAAGGATGATATTTTGGCTTCATATGAAATCACTCCAAGTTTGACTCTGAGAGCAATTATATCTTATCTATAAACTAAACAAACATATTATATAAGTATTTCATAATGATTAAGACACTACATAAAACTTATGAAGTGATAGTTATTTCTTATGTTTCAGTTAACTAATATATAACATATGTCCTTCATAATGATTAAGACACTACGTAAAATTCTTGGAGCTATCTTATTCTTACCGAACAATTTTGTGACATATTTGATTTCAACTAAATCATAAATATTATTATCTAGCATCGTTTTTCACCTTGTCTTCTTCCACAACAATAACTAATAACTATAGTACGCTTCCCTACTAGGGCTGGTTATACGGTCCGCTCAAGTTAAATTGGCCCGAATTGATCCGGTCCCAATCCGGTCATTTCGAGAATATAAGGACCAAAAATTGGATTAGATACAGTCCGGTCTTGATCCAGTCCGATCTTGACCCAGTCCGGTCTTGACCCGATTTTGATTTTAGATTGACCTTGTGGGGATTTGAGTGGCCCGAGGCATCAAAGGGTGAGAAGTTGGTTAAGTTTTGGGTGTTGGGGTCTCTTATTCAGTCTTTATCGGGTTTTCGATCCGGTCTCAAACGGTTTTTTTACCTCAAATCTAAGCCCGAATATGAGATTTGATTGTTTGCTATCCAGTCCCAATACGGATTATACAATCCGGTTTTGGGTAAAACCAAACAGTCTGGACCAAATAGCCAGCCCTATTCCCTACTATGGTCAAAGAGGTGCAAAATTCTTTTCCTATAAACTCATTCCTTCCAAGTTTGCATTTTTATGCATCTGATGTGCCTATGAGAAGGCCATTGCTGAAGGAAAATCTTATCCATGTCCCTTGCACACTACATGGCTTAAGGAGATCAAAGTCATCTAACCAAAACACAATGTGTAGCAATCAACTTGTGATATTTCCAGTTTAGCTTCCTCTAGTTAGTCATATAGAGAGAGGGTTGAATCGGGAAGTTAGCCTTTATTTCTTTTGTCTTTGCCGTCTGATTCCTGAAGTATTCTAATGTATGGAGCATTGACAAATTATTGCAAATGAAATCTCACCAACTTTATTCAGAAGCCAATTCAAATACTGAAAATCAACACAGAAATACTCCATCACGCGACTTAAATAGTGCTGCTTCATATGCAACTTATTCAGAAAATGGAGTATCTAAGGAAATGGAGTATCCATTGCTTTTCTAATTCTTTAGGGTTTCGTCGGCTATGGGAAATGAGAGAGCTATATCCACAGACACCTAAGATACATACACAAAGAAATTGTAGTTAGATCAGGACCACAGAGGAAAACAGAGTGGAAAAAGAAAGAAAACTGGATGTTTTTTTATACCTGAATTTTCTCTAATTTGTCCAAGCCAAGCTGTAATGGTTTAGTTATCTGACCATATTTCTGAAGAAGAGCAATTGCACCCTGTTTATTTCCTTTCGCTTGAATCGTCAGAATCTCCTTGCTCAGGCTCTCAACCGCCTCTTCAACCTTTCATTCACACAACGGATTCAAATAAACAGTTTAATTCTGATCAATTGTCCAAAAACAAAAGCACTGGTAACTCAGCTATGGATGTAAATGTACCTTTGTGAAATCAACAGAAAAAGTCTCATCATCAGAATGAAGGACAATGGCTTGCTTCTCAAACAGCCAGTTGAACTGCACAGCTTGCCCTTTCCTATTTTTTTTTTTCCACGGACAGAAAATGTAAGACTTGGGTATGGAAAAGTTCAAATCAGGCTGAGAGTGTTGGGTTCATGCTTGCTTACCCATGAGCATCCTGTAAACCGTATCGAACTGAACGGAAGCATGTTGCCAGAAATGAGACATACATAGTCTCCAGCATGCTCTTTGGAAGTAAACCCTGCAACCCAAATCGACCAATGCCTAGTAAGGATGTTGCAGTTTCTCAAAGGCAGTAACAAGTGGTGTATATTAATAGTTACCTGGGAGATGAAGAACCTGAGCGCCCACAAGCCGACAATATCAGCCTTGGCTTCTTCCAGAACTGTATGGAACTCTTGCAGCTCCTTTATACAACATAATAATCACGTGATAAGGGAAAACAAACCTGCAGAAACCTGAAACTGAAACAGCAAAGTGAATGGTAAATGGCAAGAAAAAAACCTGTCTGACAGTGGAAGTTGAACCATCAGGAAGTGTAATGGTGTGAGGACCAATGCCGTGAATACATTCATGGCAGGTGATGTGTGTGAAGAAGGAATCGAAATCTACGAGCTCCTTCTGTTCATTGTTGATGCAGATGTCCGCTATCGGTTTCAGGATTTTCTCAAACCTGTTTGGTCATGAGGAAAGCAACATAGAAAAGGTCCTTAATGTTTTGAAGCAACAAGCACCAACGACGGAAGGCAAAGTGGAGATTAAACATTAAACCAGTATTACTTAGCCTCTTGAATGTTCTTGATCATCACCATTGAAGTCCCTCGGTCATTTACTATACGCTCGTCATTTGGTAGATTGAAGGCTGCAATCTGAGGGCCATCAACATCCTATTTTTTTGTTTGTGAAACAAACATCATATTCAAACTTTCTTTCATTTCTGGTATCACTTGATTATCAAGTTGGCAGAGCCAATATTTGTGAGTAGAAAGTCAAAAGTCACACCCCAGAATTGTAGATGAGTTGAATGACACGAATGGGTGAGACGTTGACATTGGTTGATTTGTACTGATCGTCCATGGGAAGATTTTGCTCCAACTTCTGAAACCCATCAAGCCTTCCATTATTATTCAACACAATAGTGAAGAGCAGAAGCAAACAAGTCCGTAGTTTGTTGTTTAAGCAATAGGGAAGGAGCTTAGGAAGTAGACCAGCATATTTTCTCCGAACATTTTGATTCGACCAGTTGCCTCGTCATCACGTATCCCAATGAAAGATTCAAATGTAGCCTATGATAGAACATGAAGCAACATTTGAAAATGTAGAAGATCCGTCTCTTCACAATACCAATCATGGTTGGTGAATGATAAGAAAAAGCATCAGTAGTTAAGTTGTTTTTACCTTGTAGCCAAAGAGTGAATCTTCATATGTTTCATACGGACCGATGGTGACATCAATCTTAGAGTCCTACACCCATATTTATTATCCAATTCTCATGAAAATGCCCAAGTCACATCAAAGCAGTAAAAGGGTTTAACAGAATTCAATGAAATTTACCAAATCCATCCAAGCAATATCAGATTCATAGTAGTCATTTGAGAGGAATGCATCAGCCTTGGTATGCAACAACTTCTTCAAGCTACAACGAACCGGAAGTCATAAATTAATTAAGGTAGCAAAGCTACCATAATGCGGGATGGTGGTTTCAGTAAGAAGGAACAGAAGTGTTCATAAGATGTGTTGATGATACATTGTGGGCAAGTTTGTATTCATTACCTTGGAGTAGTAGCCAAGTCTCCAGCTTTGTGGAGAAACTCAGCAGCTTTGGTAAGGGAAGAATCATACTGTTGAGAGTAAGGAACAATATAAAGATCAGGATTGGTTTCACTCTGCCTCCTGATAACAGTGAAGAAACCTTGAGCCTCTTTTTGCTGCGATTCTGGGAGTCTGCTCTTCCATGATTCAAACTCCTGCTTTCATCCCCACCGATATGAGATTCATTTTTAGATGTTTTGTTACTGTGATAAACTAGCGCATAGCATGTAATTAGAGCCTTGTAATGTACCTTTTTGGACATGTCTAAAGGGTAGAAATTGGCACCGGGAGGTTTGTTAGAAGACAGAGCAACTCTGTATTCTAGACCTTTCCATCCTTCCACTGGCTTTGTGGCAGCAGTAGCCAACTTTATGGCCGAGTCTTTAGTTGTCAGGAACGCCTCGTTCTCGTCAAGGCTAGACCTGTTGTGGACACATAAACCAATTACTGAATTAGCAGAAAAGAAAAGATAGAGAAGCAATGTATATGCAGCTGAAGTTTTAATTGATCACCAGGGGCTCTTGTTGATGACATAGTAATCCCATTTGAGGTGGTCAAGCTGTGACGCATCGTCTCCAGCTGCCCGGCCCTGTAGCCAGTCCCTGAGAAGAGCATTGGTGTCCAGAACCTGGTGGAAGAATATCTCGTCGATGGCTTTTGCAGCCTTGATTATGAACCCCAAGGCCTCCTTGTCCCCATCGGAAAGCCCTGACAACTATACAGAAACCCATTTCAAGAACCCACCAAATTAATTAGGTTTCAATGTTAATTTTACAAGAGGCTGATTATAGAAACCAATTACCTGGGCTGTAAGAGAGACCGGAGCATAGCGCTGAAGTTGTTTATGGAGTGTCGAACAACGGTCACGGTCCTCTTGGTATCTTTTGGTAAGAATTGCAAAGAGTTTGGCGTATTCGCTGGCGATATCAGGCGGTTGGACATAGGCGGGGTCGTTCTGCCCAACTAAGTTTTTGTACTCATTGTATGTCATGTACTTGACACTGCCTGGCCCTTTTTTCACCTATGTCACATAGAATTAATTAAACACCGTCAATTTAATATGTTACTTACACAGTGTACTCGTTAGTAACTACTGTATGTTGTCAGGTTTATTTTCCTCCAGATTCAATGGTAGTAGTATTATCACTTAAATCAAATCCTTGTTCGTCAAGTGGGGTTACTATTAGAATATGTGATTACCTGAAGAGTGAAAGCCTGTAATGGTATTGGCTCAAGGGTGGTCACCAGGTATACATCATTGTTCAGCACATTTTCGGACTCTCTGCATAGTGTTATTATTACTATTGTACGTTATTATTCGTGTTTGTTGTTTGTGAAACTGTACCGTATGGACAATATGAAATAATGTTTTGGGAGTGGTGTTGCGAACAATTTACCCTCCTTGTGGCTGTTTTAGGGGAGAGCTAGACACCAACTCAAAGGCATCAGTTGGAAGGTTGATCCCCAGCTCCGATTGCACCAACCTCCTGATCAGTCATCATCATAAGAAAAGTCCAACAAAATGCATTGATTACAAATTATCCTTTATTTCCAGAATCGGTCACTTTCATTTTCATATATGTAAAAAAGAAAACAATTAAGTTGATGTGAGAGTACTGAGATGGGGTTCTTTCCTTCACCTAGCGGCTTGAAGTGATGACTCATAATCCGATATCGAGGCGGCGACGGCGGATGCGTCCCAGTGCCCTGGCCGGCGGTGGCTTTGGAGAAGGAGCTCTTCATCTTTCTCAGCAAAAATCCAGACGCGAACCTCTCTGTCGCCTCCATGATGACGATGATCAGAATGCCTGCATGCATGGTAAATACAATTTCCATGCATGAACTTCATAGCTTTCTTGTTAATCATTGCGATAGCTAGAGACTATATAGTCTATAAGTTTATCATCAGATCAATGGTTAACCCAACAGATAAGGAGCTATTAAGCAACTGAAAACTACAATTAAGCTCAAAATTAATTAGTTAAGGGGGAGAAGAAGATGAAATGGAAGTACGCATGCCTGGAATTAGAGTGCATTATGTGTCTAGTGCTCAGCTGCTCTGCTCGAGTCTATATCTTCTGTGTGTCTATCAAAAGTGCATGGAAAAATCATCACCGATTGTCCCATTTATATAAAGGAAAACCATCCCTGTTGTAGGATTGGTTGAGTGTGGGTGGGCACACAGCATAAATGCAGGCGTTTAAGACTATGGGGCCGTTTGGTATACACGGAGAAGAAATGATTGGATTGGTTTGGTTTGGTAGATCCAATTTGAAGATTTTGGTAACCCCAATTTAACCCTCCTCCACCATATGGATTAAGGATCATACAAAAACCCCATTATCAATTTCCATTTCAATACAAATAAAACAAGCGTAACTTCCAAACGACCCTTTAGGGTGGAATTCTTACCATTTTAGTCTATAGACTTCAGGCCAACGACTTTTTTGACTCCTACGGCTATATTTTTACAAATTTCTCTATAAATAGACACAAATTTCTCTGTCAATAGACACCAATGACTAAGTTTGAGCCTTCATTTATACATAAACAAAAAAAGATTCATCGCTATAATATGGTCTAGGTTGGCTGTACAATTGATTGCACAACTCAATATGATTAAAGTTGGATGAACAATTGACGAAACAACTCATTTACGATTAAAGTTGGATGAGCAGTTGATGTTACAACTCATTCTGACACACATGTGAAGAATCTATGACAATATGGACTAGTTACTCTGCGTAATTTCTAATGAAAAAATTAAGTCAAAACTAAACAAATTATATTAAAAAAATTCTTAATTAGTTATTACTATTTATATAAAATAAGCTATGAATTAGAAAAAAATAATGATGAAATCTACTCTAAACTAAAATTGCCGAAAAAGTGCAACTTGGAGGATTTAGAATTTTGTCCTACATTTTTTTGTAGGACTAAAAAAACCAAATATAATTCTAAAATTTGATCTTGCAGTCCAATGGGTTGGAGATGGTCTAACACGGATCCAGAGAAGAGAAGGTACTTTATTTAGTTCTCTATTTTTCTTAATCAGATCCTGTGGCATTTGTTTTCACTTGAAATTTAAAAAATTTGCATAGAAACTAGAAAGAAAAGATTAATTATGATATATACAATTCAATTTATTTTGCTAATTTTTGAGCAAATAAAAAATTAACTCTTCAAAACACATATCGGTTGTAGTATTATCACTGTCATATCTATAGCATCATCATGATATGATAGTGGTACGATGACTTATCTTCTTCATTTCAAGTTAAAATCGTAAAAAAAAATAGTATAGAAAGAATGCATTGATTAAGATCAATAAAATGATATCCATTTTGTATGTTTTTTTAAACATAAGACTTCATACCAACATAGTATCAGTACCATATCATAATATTATCATTATATCATAATGATGGATGATGGTATAATGATAATATTAATATCATGATATGACAATGATTTGATGTCATCAATTATTTTGACAAACATAATACCTCATACCAACATCAATATTATACCACTATCATATCAAAACCATACCACTTTTAGTGATAATATCGTGAGATGATAGTGGTATGATGACCTGAAATTTTTTTATTTAAAAAAAAAACAAAATAGATATCATCTTGTAGAGCACAAAAAATCCGATATTTTTATGCAATTTTGTTTTGAAATCCTACATAAAATGAAGGATCTATGGTCTGTTGAGTTTTCTTGTCGATATTGAAAACTGCTTTAATAAAACCCGAGAATCCACGCCACTCACTCAAAAGTCCGGGCAACGGGTAGAAATCTGGTCAACTCCCCTTATTTTCCTGCCTACCCTTTTATAATATGGACCATTAGATCTTACTTTTTCAAATTACAATATTATATCAGGTTTTGTATGACTACAAAACTAATAGATTTTGTAATATATCCGAGTCTTTTTTCAACAGTTAGATAATATCATCTCGTATTTTTTTATAATTGAGGTACTATCTTATAGTATTCCATATCGTTTCTCTTTGTAATAGGAATCACAATAACAATGAAGTATACAAGAATGATAATACGTTGACTATTTGGTTAATTTTACTCAATTGTCAAGATCCATATAAATATTTGGTCGGATCCAAATGGATTTTTAATGATTTTGGGTTTAGGTTGGACTCGAATCGCGTCCAATTTGAGTCAAACCCAAATGTATCTATTTGGATTGATATGTTTGTCTACAAAAAAAAATACAATATCGATCATCTCGATAACTGCTTTCAATCAAATTACACTTTCAGGTATCCAATGATTTGATTCAATTTAGATCTAAACAAATAAATTGGGTATGAATGTGCCTAAATTAAAATTACCCAAAGCTTATTTGACTATTAGCAAGTTGTTTTGGGTATACCTTGGTCTTTTTGTGATTACAAGGAGGGATTAAGTTTTCACAAGCCACCAAATATAATTTGGCAACCCCAAGTCCCAACCACCCTCTTCAATTTGAAGACAACGATGCGTCAAACCATCTCGATCGCTATCATATTGGCTGTGCGATATCGATCTTCTTCTCATCTTCTGGCCGGTAGCTGCGATCCAATGATAAATCATTTTTTCACCACCTGATCTATTGCATATCAATTGGAAGAAAGCTACAATGATTGAGCACCATGGAAAGAAACTATACGTATCGAGAGGTGCTTTCAACTGCAGCTGGCTGCAACCCTATACACTTGCATGTTTCTGGCATAACCAAATGAAGAGAGTACAGATATGCTAGCTAGGTGCACTTGCTGAAAAATGGGACCTTAAGTTTGGGGCTAACTAACGATGGAATCGGTCATCTACGTTTCATTTTTAATAAATCAGTAATTTATGTTTCCACTAATTAATAAATTAATATTTTCATCCACCTCTGTCAAATTTCTATCTAAGATTTCCAAGTCACTTTGCCACGTCGTCGAATCTATATTAAATTTACAAGAATTTATATGGTCAAACTCATCCAAACCGAATCCACCAACTCAAAATTCCAAAACAATATAAAATATCAACCCAAAGGAAATTGAAAAAGGAAAAAAACTTGACAATTAAACGAACATGAGATGGTAATACAACTGGTTTTGAACTTTTAGATCCCACATTTGTATTCATTTAGTAGGCAGCTAACTAAATAATTAACCCTTATAAAAGAAGAACTTGGAAAAGAAGATAAAGGTTCAGTGTTCAAATGGGTATTTTTCCACTGCAGCAGAGTGCCAATGAAATTTGTGGAATTTCCGTTTCCTTTCTCAAATGGCCAATTGGAGTTTTATTTAATTGGTTGATAGACTTCTACTGATTGTTTTGTCATTTTATCTCATTACAATTATGATTTCTGTTATTATAATTGTAATTCTCACATCAATTGAGGAAGGAATATTATAGGATTTGTATGGTATAATAATAAAAGCAAGTTATAAAAAGTAATTTGTATTACACAAAGCTTCCGTAAGGTAAGTTAGTTTTTATATAATACTTCAATCAAATTATAATTACTTTTTCATAATTTGATTTTATTATTATTAGACCTATGTAACACCATTCAATAACAATTACGTAAATGAAAATATATTACATAAATATTATGAAGGTAGAGTGGCGTTGTGTGTTGTTGTCCGTTCAGTGGATTTGGAGATGGGAAATCTGTTGTTGCCACCATCTCCCGTCGGCGTCGTTCAGTGGGTTCAGAGATGGGACCTGATGATTGGGGACCGAATGAGATGGGAGAGAAGGGTTGGAGGAAGTGGTTATGTGATCTTGGGAGGTGAGAGAAAGATAGCATCGAGAAATGTTATTTTCTTAAGGGGCCACCGATTAGGTGTGGTTGTTTTTTTATGAGATCATGCATCTGGCAAACTAAAACTAACATTAAAGGTCATGTTTGGCCTGCACAATATAATTACACATGAGCTCGCGTAGATAGGATTGCAAGGAATCACCAAGCCGGGATAGATTACAGTGATTACTATTTTATAATAATCATAGTGGTTACTAAAGGAAAATTGGGTATGACAAAAAATTTATTAATTACCTTTTTCAACAAATTACATTTTTGGAAGTTTCAAAAATATATTAATTACAATTTTCTCTCTCTTTCACAATATCCTCCATATCTCTTTTTTCTCAATCTTTTTCTTGTCTCATTTCAATCGAAATAATTAGGGGTGGGATTCGGTTTGTCGGTAAACGGTTTACCGTTTTACCGAACCGTTTACCGACGGTATCGGCGACCGAACGTGGGTTGGGGGGTATCGATTTACCGAAACCGGTATCGGTAAATACCGACGGTAAATCGGTAAACCGTTTACCGAATCTCACTTCCCTCTCTTCCTCCCTCATTAGGTGTCGTTAGGGGTTTAGCAGCCTTTCTATTTACACGAACATAGGAACTCCTCCTGCCACAGAAATTATTGGAGCCCAGAATTCACCCACACTTCCTGCTACAACCACCAGCCATTTCCCGAATAGCCATCCCCTCACCGGAGCATTCCATCTGGTGGTTGCACCCCAGGATCACTTTCTGCTCTCGGCTTACCATAATGGCGGTCGCCCCATCATCTGTGAAATACCTACAGTCTTCTACCCCATTCACTCTTCCCAGTCAACTTTCCCCCAAATTTCATCCCCGTTTCCCGTCCACTGCCGCCGCAAGGGCGAACTCCACCGGATTCGGTTTCAGCACTCGTCGCAGTGTTCAGAGGAAACCTCCTGCGGTGCTGCGTGCCTCTGCTGCCGATTTTAGCCCGAGCATCGGAGAATTGTTGGGCGAAGTCACCGTGTTCAAAGCCTCCGGTGAGCCCGTCGTGTTCAAGGATCTCTGGGACCAGAACGAGGTATTATAGCTATAGTCTCCCCTCTTCTCGGTTCCTTCTGTTTTGTTCTTTGAGTGGATATTCATACAACTTTGATTGTGCAGGGGATGGCTGTTGTTGCACTGTTGAGACACTTTGGATGTCCTTGCTGGTAATTTGAATTTCGCTACCCCATTAATTTGATGGGGATCAGCTTTGGTTTTTACTGAGCCGCCATGGTTTCTGATTGTTGTTGTTCAATTTTTTGGCTGAAGTTGGGAACTGGCGTCAGAGTTGAAGGAATTCGGTAAATTCGGTAAACCGGTTTGTAACCGTTTACCGGTAATTCGGTAATCGGTAAACCGGTTACAAATCGGTATCGGTAAACGGTAAACGGTTTTGCCAATGTCGGTATACCGAAACCGGTAAATTCGGTAAACAATTTACCGTTTACCGACCGATTCCCACCCCTAGAAATAATAATACTGAAAAAATAAAACAAGAATCAATACCAATCTGTTAGACAACCACTACCATTTCGGAAAACACCAATACAAATGAATCAATACCAATCCATTAGACAACCACTACCATTTCGGAACACCAATACAAATAAATGAATACCAATCCGTTAGACAACCACTACCATTTCGGAAAACACCAATACAAATAAACCAATACCAATTCGTTAGAAAACCACTACCATTTCGGAAAACACCAATACAAATAAATCAATACCAGTCCGTTAGACAACCACTACCATTTCGGAAAACACCAATACAAATAAATCAATACCAATCCGTTAAACAACCACTACCATTTCGGAAAACACCAATACCATTGCAAAAATAAATCAATACCATTATGAAAAACAATATCATTACACTAAAACTACCAATATAAACAATCTATACCATTATAAGAGTCAAACCAATACCAAAATCAAACAATACCACTATTACTATGAACTCAAAACAATACTATTACATAAATAAATCGATATCATTTTGAAAACAAAACTATACCATTTCATAAAACAAAACAAATAAATTAGTACCAAAACAATCAACCTAGATCCAAAACCTTTCCTAGAAAGAGTGAGAGAGAGGAGATAGTGGGAGTAGGCTAAAATAGAGCTAATGAATGGTGTAAATTAAGTTAGCCACCGTAATTACTAAAAATTAAGTAACCACACTCAGCGGCGGACCCAAGAATTTTACTTAGGGGTGTCCTCTTTTAGAAAATAAGTTTAATAAAAGTAATTAATAAAAATTAATCGTGGGAGTAGGCTAAAATATAGATAATGAATGGTATAAATTAAGTTAGCCACCGTAATTACTAAAAATTATGTAACCACTCCACACTAACTCATCCCGTGGAGAAGCCTTTCTCTTCCGTCACTCATGAATCATGCCCGGAAGTCTTCTGTTTGGGATTAATTTCCTCAACCTATTTCTCGATTTCCATATGAAAAGATCACCCGCTCACCTAATCTCCAGTGAAATGTGGAACGGATTTGCTGATTCAAAATCGTAAGAGAAGTATCAGATCCGATTCAAATCTTGACCAATAGGGGTCATGTTGAAGAAAACAGAATTTTCCCCCACAAGCGTCGCTTCTTGACGTCATAGTTGGACCCATCACCATCGTCTCTGCCATCTCGACAAACGGGGACCAGTCGCAATATTCCGCTGTCAATTAACCGGGTTGCGGTAGAAGAATTAGCATGCTAAGGGTCTGGGGAGGATTGATTCAGCAGGCGGCCGAACGGGTTTGGAAGTCGGAAAGTCATATAGCATAGCAGAGACGCCGATTACTTAGATCTAGAAGAGGGAAGTTTTGTGGAGGACAACCAGTGGAGCTACTTTGTATTGTAAGTCTCTAGCTCCCCGATAGTTCTTTCAGATAGCCATTTTGCATGCGGATTTTGTTTGGACTTCTCTCTATTGGAGGAAGCACAACATGAATGTTGACTGCACAACTCACATTTAGTTATTGGATGTTGAATCTAGCTAATGCTAGCCGCTAGGTGGATTAGCTATTATGGATAAGAACGTATTGGATGTATATAAGTGTTGAATTAATAATTGGATTGAAAATAATCGAATAAGTAACTAACCGATGCTGAAAATCCTAAATGGAAATCGAATAAGTTTTGAATCTTTCCTCCGCCACTGTTTACAAGGTAAGCGCAGCTATAAGGACACACACGTATCCAATATGTAATGTAGAAATACTCCTATTAAAGAGGATAATAGTATGCGAGTATGTGATCCTTTAATTCTGCTTATAGTGATGAATGAATGTGAAATGGGAAGTATTAAGGTCGATTATGGCATCATTTGGTCTCAAGACTGTCAGTAAAGGCCTCCAAATGATGATCATCCGGCAGATCCGCTTCAGTAGAAGCTGAACGAGATAGAGCAATCCATTGAAGATGAAACAATGGAGGAAAATAGAGAAAAAGTAGCACAAAAAAGGAAACAGAGAAGAACTGAGCCAGATTTAAGTAGCAGAAGAAGAAAACGCAGAATTGATATTTCCTTTCCAGTCAAAATGGTGGCCGATGCAAACACGGGCCAGCAAACAAAGCCTCTAAAAATTTGAAACTCCGCAGCGAAGCGCGGCACACAACACCCCCTAATTTGTTACGATTGTGACACTATAATAACTAGGGATGGCAATGGGTCGGGTTTGGCGCGGGTTTGACTAAACCATTCCCGCTTTTAAATATCTATACTCATACCTATGCAAGAGAAGGTTTTGCAAACCCAACCCCGTACCCATGGGTTTCGGTACCCATGGGTAATACCCGCCTCGTACATCCAACATTATAATACAAAATATTTTACATGTAGATTTTCAATTATAACATTAAACGCACCTACTATATCATGAAGTCAACAAAGAGACAATCTTTAATACGATTCAAAGCATCTTATCGTAAAGCATCCATTAATCCATATCAGAGTAGAGAACAATGTCATCCAAATCATTATTCTCTACTCTGATACATCTAATAAGTAATAATTAACTAACATAATCTTCTTAACAAGGGAAAAAAGTGAGAGTGAAGGGAAAATTGAGAGAAAGAAATTACATTTTGATTTGGATGGCCATTCAATTGCATTTCTACTATATTTTTTCTTGAGTTATACTCACTATTATTATCAGGTTACAAATTGATTCACATATTTTTCTTATATGAAGAAATATTTTTGATGGGACGGGTATGGATATGGGTATGGGGCGTGGAGGCTAAAACCATACCCGCCCCATACCTATCAAACTTTTTGTGGGTTTTACCCACACCCGGTCAATGCGGGGATTCCCCGCGTTGGCTGGGTCGGGGGAGGTCGGATACCCGTGGACATGGGTTTGATTGCCATCTCAAACTAGTGGGTTTGAAAATTTCAAAACTTGTTGAGAGTCTTTCATGATATCGTTGAGACCTAGGTGTTGAGTAGTGTTATGCTGAATAACTAGTTGGTCTGGAGATTTCAGAACTTGTTGAGAGTCTTTGCACTATCATTACACCACTAGCACTATTGACTTGTTCCATTCCCAAATCATCAAATTAATTATCTCCTAATTAATGTAGCAATTAGAACATCCCAGCATATCATTATTCAAGTTCATGGTTACCACGAACTTCTCCTTTTAAGAATCTAGGCATATACAATCACGCCTTCTCCTCCAAACGACTTAATTATCTGCAGGTTCCCATTTGTTCTTCCTCATCTTCTCAATCACTCCCACAATCCTCTGCATCTCTTTGTTCATATGACTAGTGGGCCGAGATTCGGGTTCGGGTTCAAGTACTGAACTTGTACCCAAATGGCAATCTGCAGCATCTTCTCCCTTCTTCTCTTCCTTCCCACCATCATCATCATCATCAACTCTTCCCTCCAGAATGCTCTTGATTTGGTCTTTGAAGAATTGCTCTTGGAAATCCATCTAATTAGTTCACATGACAGAGTTCAATTAGATTATAATGACATGATTCCTCTACTTTCGTGCCTTAATCACAAAATGATTTTTAGAAAAAAGATCAAATCTTTGCTCACCGCTTCCATACTCTCCTGATGCTGCACTTGGATCTTTGCATTTAGCACTCTGATTTCCGCCTCTGCCATCCTCAGCTTCTCCTCCACCTGCCGATAACCGACACGTGGCGGTGGCGAGCGGATGGCCGTGATATGTCTGCCATTGCGGTCGGAGTGATGATCCTTAGGAGCCCAGATTTCCTTGTAGAGCTTCTTGTGGGTCTTTCCCTTCTTCTCGTACCAGTTGTTGACCGGCTTCCCACCAGCGTTGACGTTTGCGCGGTGGTCGAGGACAGCGACCATCGCTGCTTCCATGGCCATTGTACGTGTTTGTGTCGGATTCGATTGATGTGTATGAGAGGGAAGCCACCTGAATTGCAAATTGGGCGCCGGTACTTCCCCAATTTAAGGAGTGCGATTCAGTGAACGAACTAACTTGGCATTGAAGTAGTCGGAGAAATGATTGATTAGTGAGCCAGCAGAAACTCTACTGTTCTTGGCTGCTAGGAATCCAGTAGTTTATTGATTTTATTCTTCTTTAGTTATGGCTTTCTGGTTTAGTTTTTCCCCTTATAGCCGAAGCTGTCCTCTCATTTTTTTTTAATATATTTGTCACGAACAATAATAATAATTATTATTATTAATAAGCCACAAATAGTAAAAAAACTACTAAAAAGCGAAAGTTACTGTTCATTACGAAATAATCATGTTCACTGTTCATAAAGAGGGTTTGATGATTGTGTGCGGCCAAATTCACATGAAACTACTAGATTATTGCAGTCCATGCGGACAAATTTAGTCAAGCCCATGTTGGCCACTTTGGGCTGGCCAAATGGGACAGGTTAGCATGCTAACCCTTAAGGGGTTGGTTTTTTGACACCCCTTTTAATTGGTCAATTTTTTATTAATTATTGACAAGTATTAATGAAAGTAAACATAATAATTGTTCTGTTATTAAATACAAAGTAGGCATTAAATACACCACATTAATTACCACTTTACTGGTATTTGTACCACTGCACTTATACTCAGATATGACATTGCTACCAGTGCACTGATACGCTACCAGTGCAGTGGTATATCTACCAGTATAGTGGTACAACGTATCAGTGCAGTGGTATATCTACTAGTACAGTGGTACACCGTATCAGTGCAGTGGTATATTTTTTGGAGGTGGTCGGAGGGAGTCTGCCGATGGGATTTTCACCGGAGAAGTGTGGCGGTCGGAGGAAGTCTGGTGGTCGGAGACTGCTGAAAAAGGAAAAATCAAATATAGTGAGAGAATTCCTAATGTGTATTTAATGTGTGTATTTAATTCCTAATGTGTATTTAATAGTGAGAGAATTCCTAATTAATATGGTACATTTAATTCCTAATGTGTATTTAATGTGTGTATTAAATTCTATAGTTGTATTTAATATACTAGGGGGTGTCATTTTTCCAACCCCTAAGACTAACTCCAACCCAAAAGGTTATATTTAGCCTCTCAAGCTCTCAAATGTGCATTTTTACCTTCCAAAAACACTTTTTTGCTCCAACCCTAAACCTTCTAAATTTGCATTCCCAACTCATAACCAACCAATCAAAAATTAAGAAAGTAAAAAACAAAAAAAAAGATGCTTTAAAGTGGAGGGCCCCAGCGTGTGGGCTTGGGTTCCATGGTTGGTCCCCCGACCTTCTCCTTGCATTTTTCCATATGAGCTTCTATCTATCCACCCCCAAGCCCACTTCTCCAAATTTGCAAGCCAAATAATTGGTGGGTTGGAGATGAAAAAGGCCAAAAACCTCCCTTTCTCCAAATTTGCATGCTTGGGTTGGAGACAGTCTAAGGAGGGTTAGCATGCTAACCGACCCCTGGCCAAATGAGATTATTGGGCCCACATAGAAATTGCCAGATCCACTCTCCTTTGATCTCTCTTTCCAGTCCACTCTTCTGAGTTCTGTCCATGTGTTCCTGCACCCATTCTCCTTTCCTCTCTCCTCTATCCTCTCTCATCTCTCCTGTCTCTTTATTTCTCTTTCCACTCTTCTCGGTAAAACAAAAATATGTAGCAGGGAAAAAATAGGGAATTGATAAACGTCGTCCTTAAAATTACTATTGATCGTCCTAAAAATAACAAAATTACATTTTTAACCTTTTGTCATCTTTAGCAAACAAACATCACTTTAACTAAAAAAAATGAAAAACACTCAATTTCCCACACTCTCGAATTCATCGTTGACATTCTCGAGTCATAATTGTTGGAAATACGTCTGAATCATGAGTAGCAACTCCGATGAGGTAAAAATCCGATTTTTTTTCAAAAAAACCCAAAACCCCTCAACCGAAGCCAATTTTGGGTTGTACCATGGCTCAACCTAAGGCAATTTTTGGTTGTACCATGGACCAACCGAAAATTGCCTTAGGTTGAGCCATGGTACAACCGAAAATTGGATTCGTTGAGGGGTTTCGGGATTTTTTTGGATTTTTTTGTTTTATATCAATAATTTTTTATTCTTTTACTACGATTTATGGTTCGGTCCATAAGATAATTTGTTGGATTTTGGTTTATAATTTTTTAAATTTATGGAAGGGGAGGGGTTGTTTGTTTTGTGTTTGATTTTGAAATTCAAATTGGGCAATTCGGTAAATTACATATTAAGTTAGGACGATGGTTAGTAATTTTTAGGACGACCTTTAACCATTCAGAAAAAATAAGCTGATATTTTTTGGTTAAGTTATTTATATATTATTATAATTATTAAATCACAAGTATAAAAAAAATATGACCATACTGTTCACAAAATACATAAAGGTTTGTAAGGTTACTTCTTTTTACACAGTAATTTAATAAAATTTGATATTCTTTTAACTTGGTTTTATAGTGGCTTGGATTTTATATAAGCTCCAAAATTCACCATAAGTTCTTTATTCTTTGCATTATATTAAGGTTTTGTAAGATGAATGGTTTGTTACATAATAATTTAATCAAATGTAAATTTTTTGCTAACTTGATTTTATTATTAGAACACATCAAAAGCTCTGTGTAACAATACACCATGACAGTTACATTATAACAATTATGAAGAGATAGTCATTTATTTGAATCACTTAAACAATATGTATTGTATATGTATTTCGTAATTATTTTGTAATATAAGTTTGAACGGAAATTCATTTGTTATTAACTAAATTGTTGATCATCTCATGAATTTTCATTTATGAATGTTTTGTAAGATAAGTTATTCTTTTACACATAACAGTTTAATCATGAGACATTATAAAGCTTATATGGAGGGATATCTATTTTAATATATAACTTAAACAAGCGTATGACGTATGCCTTTCGTAATGATTAAAATTATGTAAAATTTATGAAGCTATCTTACCCAATAATTTTTTGAATTATTTGATTTCAAGTAAATCATTAAATGAGTGCATAAAATTTTAAATATAAGTAATTTCTTACCGCTGCGGAGCGCGGGTCAAAAAACTAGTTAATACATCATAATAATGGAGCAGTACTAATGTACTATAGCGTTGTTATCAAAGGTAAGATAGTCTAACGGTAAATCTGCCGCGACAGTGAAGATTTGGGAGTTGCATATCTTAGGTTCGAATTCAAGCGAGGTCCGTTAGTTCCCGAAGGTAGGGCTAGACATGTGGGCGGATCACCCGCGGGTTCGGGCCGACCCACCCGCATTTGACCCGAATTTTGTTATGTGTGTGGGTTTGTGGGTGACCCGCTCAACCCAACGGCAAAAGGAATGAAGCCGTTGGCGTTGGAGAGGGGAGAGTGGAGACGTTAGACGGAAACTAGAGCCGCTCCTGGAGATTGAACCTCGAAGTCAACATTCCAAATCACGATCTCCTCTTCTTCCCTTTATTTTTTCCTCGAATTCTTTTGCCTAGATCACCTCTTTTTCCTCCGTTGAATTATTGTCCTTAGTTCCCTGCAGTTGATAATCATCTCCATCGGTAGAAAACTCCATAATAGAATTTTTACTCAATTTCATAACTAATTCGACATTTTCCCCCCATTCCATCTTCTTGTTTCGGTTGTTAACTCTCTCCACCAATTATCATATCAAGTTGACTCTTTTATATTATATACATTGTGATGTGGGTGAACCCGCAAACCCACCTGCATCATCCACCATCCGCCCGACCTAACCCGAGACTAAATGTGGGTGGGTGGTGGGTTAAAAATTAGCAATCCGTTTAAGTGCGGATGGGTGCGTTTTATGGTCAAAATTTACACGACCCACCCAATGCCCACCCCTACCCGAAGGTACAAAGCTGCTGAAGGCGAAGCCCAGTTGACGTCGAATTTGATTGCAGGTAACCTCAAATTTAATAGAACCCGCTCTCAAAAAATAATACGTGAGGCTGAGATTCATTGATAATAAAAAAAAAAAGGACTATAGTGTTGTCCAAAGTTAACTTTGGGAAACTCCCAAGTCCTAACTAATAAGAATCATTATCAGTCTTACTTTGTCGCACTAGTTTGTTCTTTGTGACAATAAAATTGAGAATGACAAGTCAAGTTAGGTATGGTATTGCGGAGTATTATATTTCTCCCGCAACACTTTGAACCAATATACGTCAGGAGAATGATCACGAATCAACCTCAATTGTATAAATCACTAAATTCTTTAACTATTTTTCTTTTCAAAACTAGGTCATCATGCAAAATATAAATTGACCAGTGACTCGAGGTCGGAGCTTGAATAACTATTTTCACACTCACAAGCTACACTGCTCTTGTGGAAAAGCTCATAACTCAGAAATTTGGTAGTTGATGACAATACTTTCAAACGACTAATTTTTATCGAGTTGATTTGTTTAACTTCGCAATTTGAAACCTCCTCCGCCTCATGTCATTTTTTTTTTCTTAGCAAAGTCAACTGAATAATAAAGAGTCACAAATGGGAAGAAAGAAAAGCGCAGGAGTCGACCAATAGTCGAACTCCCGATGAGAGTGTCTTTTGTGCCACATGTTGGGCAGCCCTATGTCAATTTTACTCATAAAGGAAGATTCACTACGAAGTAGTTCCAATGAAGGAGACACCGAAACGACTTCCCTTCTAAGTTGCTTCGTTTGGTGCAAAACTTAATTGTATTATGATCATGAATCTGGTCTCCTCGACCCTCGTCCTCCTTCCCGCAAATCACAATCCTTCAAATTCCATTCTCTTTTTATTATCCTTTTTCGTTCATCAAATTCGTCTCCAAGCTGAAGAGGCAGAGGAGGCCGAGGCAGAGAGATCAGGATCGAAGAAGAGCAGCAGCTCCCAAGGTAGCTACAAACCTCCACGAAAGCACCGAAACCCATGCAGTCTAGTTATACCCAGCAGCTCCCAAGGTATCCTTTTTCTGGTTATATCCTCTTCCACCGCCATGCAGTCTAGTTTCTAGATTCACTGTGATGGATGCCTTTGAGTTTTCCCCGGGAGGCGGCACATGGAGTGATGATGTTCAACTACCATGGAAATCGATATGATCGGACAAGCTGATTTTGGTTTTGTTGCACTTTGATTGGTTGTTTACAAGAGAGTTTCTTGATGATCTGTTTTTCGGTCAAGGGTTTTGCTCTTTCCGAATGGTTGCTTTGCAGACTGTGTTTTGTTCTCTATTGCTGCATTTTGTCTTACACAGCTTTGTTTGTAACCGGATGCCTTTGGGCTTCCTCTTGTTGGGAACCAAATTGTTGGTTTGTTCTCACTCTTTGTAACTGATCTTCTGAAGTGCAATAAAATCCCCCTTGTCAAAAAAAAAAATTCGTCTCCATTCGGACTCAGTGTGTAAGCTCGCTCTTCCTCTTCCTCTGTCACTCTCAGTCTCTCACTCTCTACTCAAAATCGTCCTTTCTGTCCAAATGCCTCAATCATCCGCAGAACAAAAACAGTCTGCGGATGAGAAGCCGGTGGAGAAACAACTCTCCGACCTCAATTTCGGCAAAGAAGGCCAATAAAACCACGCCAACCAACAAACTCTGCTGCCGACGCAAGCGCTCGACTCTCCCCAAGATGACAACAAGGAACAAGCACTGAAGCTCTGCGAGATTTGCGCAGACAGGAAAAAATCGGACCAGATTCTCGCCGTCGGAGCGTGCACCCACGCCGCCTACTGCGTCGACTGCATATCCCGCCACGTGGCGACCAAAATCGGGCAGAGCGCGGCGACCGTCATCACCTGCCCTGCTCCGGGATGCGGGACCGCAATCGAGCTCGACTCCTGCCGCGCTGCTCTCCCCAAGGCGGTGATCGAGCAGTGGGAGGAGGCCCTGTGCCGGAACTCGATCGGAGAGTCGCAGAGGTTTTACTGCCCCTTCAGGGACTGCTCGGCGATGCTTGTGGCGGCGGAGGCAGAGGCGGAATCGATCAGGGAGTCGGAGTGTCCGTACTGCCACAGGTTGTTCTGCGCGCAGTGTGGCGTGGCGTGGCACTCCGGCGTGGACTGCGAAGGGTTCCAGCGGCTGGGGCAGGACGAGCGAGGCAGGGAAGACATTATGGTGATGGAGATGGCGAAGAGCAACAAGTGGGGGCGGTGCCCGAACTGCAGATTCTACGTCGAGAGGACGGAAGGCTGCCCTCACATCACTTGCAGGTGAGAGGATGAATGTCATTTTGGTCATGGCCAATTTCAATATGGTTTGTTGTTTGTTGATTAATTTTTGATTTTTTTTTGTATTGCGCATAGGTGCAATTATGAATTCTGCTATGGGTGTGGAGAGATGTGGAGCTCCAATCACGGCGGGTGTACCAGAGACTGATCGGGTTGGGCAGAGCAATGGAATAGAGTTAAAGAAGGTCATGTTGGTTGGTTTGATTTTCGGGTTACAAAGGATATTAACATTATGTTTGATTTGAAGAGGTTGTTTGGGCTTGGCTTGGCTTGGCTTATATACTGTTAGTTGATTAATTTAATTTCTTTACTCTTTTCGGGTAAAATAAATCTCTTTACACTTTACGCAACACTGGACTAGCAGGGTCTGGTACGTTGACCGGGAAGCATACGAGTAAACGCAATTTTGAAAAAATACATCCTCATATTCACTCGTGTAATTGTGGCTCACAATCGCTATATTTTGTTTGGTAAGTTGATCATGAATGATAAGGGGAAAATATTTGAAGGTATTTGACTAAACCTTAACCAACCCACCACCCAGGCCAATGCGACCCAACCCAGCCCATTCCTCTACATCTCCTCTCCCTCTCTACCACCATCTCCTCACCGCCTTCTCAGCTTCCACTCCGCCACCATTTGGTACAATTGCGTCCGCCGCCGCCTCCTGAGAAGAAGAAGGTCTAGCTGGTGGGAAGGGGCTATGACTGCAGGGCATGCCGGCGGGGAATTCGCAGTGTTCTTTATAAGCTCGAAAGAGCCGATTGTGTTTGAAGAGAAAGATTTGAGGTTGCGCAGGGAGTGGGTTAAAGGGATGTGGGAGCAGGTTCAGCGGGTGAAAGAGGTGAGCTAGTTAGATTTTATGGCTTTTCCTGCTCCGTTGCTTGGGTTGACAATTTTGGGGAATTCTCAATCTGGATCTAGTTTCGCTACTTAGTTTGTGGAAAGTAGAAAATTGAATGATCAGAGATGGCATTTGTTCTTGTTCACACTGTCTCGACCTTTTTGAATCTCTTCATAAAACATGGAGACATCACAAGAGAAAACTGAAACTAGGCCAAGCAAAAGCAAAACTTCCGATCTTATAGGCGTGGTGAAAGCGGCAGTGCTTGCCGACGAGCTTATTGGGGTGGTGAACGCGGCGGTCGCAAATGGAGCAGAAGGCACCCTCGTCGGCGCTGAGAAGACGATGTCGCAGACATCGCACTGAATGTTCCTCATCTGTGCGGAGATGGTGGCGGAGACGGTCAGACGGAGAGGAGATAGAGAGGAATGGGTTGGGTTGAATTGGGGTGGTGGGTTGGTTAGGGTTTAATTGATATTTATTTTATTTTTTTAATTATTTTGATGATGTGGATGTTGACGGATAGTTCACTCGACTAAAATAACATAATTTTGAATAGAAATTGACAGAATTACCTTTTTGTTATTAGTCCAAACATATGTTATTGAAACGTGAAAAATTAAAGGTTTGTGGCCGTTTTGTACAAAGTGAATAGTTTTGTGACCATTTATGATAATTACTCAAGAGATTTACAAACAATACAAAACATATGAACTATACAAACTAGACCGACAAACAATACAAATCATACAAAATGAAAAAAATAATTGGGTTGACTTTGGAGGCTCCATCGCTATATAGAGAGGTTTCGTCACAAAGTCAACCCGGTTGATTTTTTAATATATAAACATGGTGGACAAAAATGACAAACTAGACCGACAAACTATACAAAATGGAAAAACACTTGGGTTGACTTTGGAGGCTCCATCTCTATATAGAGGAGTTTCATCCAAAAGTCAACCAGGTTGTTTTTTTTATAAATAAAAAACATTACAAACATGTGTGACCAAAATAACAAAACTTACAAACATTACAAAATAACAAAACTTACAAACATTACAAAAGAAACCGACAAATAGTACAAAGCGTACTAACCGTATTGAAGAAAATTAGTTATATACAAAATAAGATGATGAAAATATTATATATGTATGATAAAATCAAATATGTTAAGAGAAAAAAATGATTATTTTTTAACAAAATACATATGTATGTGTATAATCAGACGATTCCAATTGGATGGTGAGAAAATTATGTCCACCCATCACTCTCAATATTCAGATTTGAGTTTTACCGTACCCATTAAAAAAATTGTATTCAAATTTTAACCACTCAATTAGATTGAATTTGAACGAATATTCACAAACATGATTATTTTTGTCATCCCTCTTCAATACCCTACAACTACAAGCACGGGAGGGAGTGCATGTTGATACCCAATTTTCAATTTTGCTTGTTTCCCTATCATCCTTTCTCTCTGTGCTCCCCTTAATTTCATTGTTTAATCAAGAACCTTTTGAAAGTTTGTGCCCAATTAAGTCCACCATTCTTTATATTTATCCACAGAAAAGGAAATTGATCATTGTTAACCATGAATCCCTCTTTCATCTACCACCTTCCAACATCATATGTAGTTAGCTAATTGTGCCTTTCCATCGTGGCGATGGAATATTTGTGTCTTGTATATGTGCAAAACTTTAATGAAACCATTACACCTAACATTTCTTAGGATAATATCACTAAAAAAGATGGAGGGTACATTTTGTTTCCCGTTTGTTAGAGTGTAAAGGGCAGTTTGATGTACATTGTCAGTTTGGTTGCCAGTTAGAGTAAATTTGGCCCTTTTTTATGAATACATGCTCATTCATAAAAAAAAATGGAAGATAGCTCATACTACTGAAACTTGGGAGAATGGAAATCTTATATCAAAACACCGAAAGTAATTTTAATGTGGCATATCTGATTATCGGGGTCTATTATTCTTAGGTTAATATCACTAAAAAAGATGGAGGGTACATTTTGTTTCTAGCTTTTTCAGTTTGTTAGAGTGTAAAGGGGAGTTTGATGTACATTGTCAGTTTGGTTGCCACTTGCCAGTTAGGGTAAATTTGGCTCTTTTTTTATGAATACATGCTCATTCATAAAAAAAAAATGATGGAGGATAGTTAATGTGGCATATTTGATTGAAAATTTTCGCTAAGAGGAGGGTTTGAACCTCCGACCTTGTGGTTAACAGCCACACGCTCTAACCAACTGAGCTATCCCAGCTTACTTGTTTTCTCAAAAGGATATACACATGAGGTACAAATGTTACAAAATTGTATTGGCAAAGCACAAACATATATTCCCCCCCCCCCCCCCCCCCCCCCCCCCCCCCTCCAGTTTTTGCATGAGTATTTGTATTAGCAGGTGATCTAACAATGTCAAATGGAGCTCACACACAAAAAAAAAAGTCAAATGTAGCGTTGAATATATAGTAAAACCTCTACAAATTAACATAGCAGGTGATCTAACAATGTCAAATGGAGCTCACACACACGCTCTAACCCATCACCAGTTGATCCCAATAATTCGAGTTGTAAGAACCACAACACTAACACGCCCCCTCAAACGAAAGCCACTCACAAGGGCTTGAAGTTTGCACAGGTCTGAATACAAGAATACCATGTGCTTAACAAATGGGGGTCATCGGGAATCGAACACGAGACCTTTCGGTCACAGAAGGCTCTAATATCATGTCATGAACCAGTTGATCCCAATAACTCGAGTTGTTGGAAGAAGTTCAATCGTGGATCATATACCACAACACTAACAACAAGAACCCTCATCATCAAAAAAGAAATTAAAGGAAATATATTACGACACAAGAGGAAAGCAAAGCATCAAGAGGGGGTGAGGGACAAAGAAACACAAAGCTTTAATCTATCAAATGGTGATGGGTTCTTACACCTTTAGGCTATAAAATGTGCTTCTTTCTTCTTCTTCTTCCACTGATGAAAGCTGGTGAAGGGCTCAACAGTTGCTTGAGAGACAAGAGAACCTGATCCCCCTCCCTTTGCTCTTTGGTCAAAGCAACTCGTGAGAGTAAAGTTTGAACTTTGAACCGACAGCAACTTAGATAGATAATGGCCACTGTGGAATATTGGATGGCTCAACTCAACGCAATTTATACCACCTTTGCTTTCATTGCCCCTTTCCTTTAATTTGTGGTGAGCTAGTGTAGTTGGGATTGACGTCCGCCAAACTTCATTTAAATTAGAGTAGTAGTAACATTCTCCATTAGTACAAAGTGGACCAGATTAATTCAACGTCAGAAGCCTTTCATATTGACCACCCTGATGTGGATTCCTCCAAATGAGTGTGTTTTTTGAACACTCGTATTGATCATACGTCGTTAGACTCCAACGAGATTTGAACATATAGGTTCTACTAGACTAAAACCAGGGGTATGCAACTGTCCGTTCCAGTCTTCCAGACCAAACCAAAACTCTGAGAATCACAGTCCAGTAGTGTAAGAGATCTTAGGATCAAGAAATTGGACCACTCAACTCGACATGGTATAGTTCAAGCCTCAATTAATATGGTCCTTGATTGCTAAACCCGACCAGGATAGGAGTTACGCGAGGAAGGGACACATAAACCTTAATTAAGAGTCTAATATAATTACAAGGGTAAATTTCAAAGAACTACCCATAGTTTAACAAGGTTAGCCACTCACTCACTCACAAAGTCACAATCACACGAGTCACACCTGCAAAAGAATCGGTTTTAACTTTGAAGGCAAAGGACAAAAGAAACGGAAAGGAAGAGCGGTGGGCGGCTAGAAAAGCAGGCCCACCCCACTCCTGAGTCCTGGCCCGCCCAGTGAGAAGTTGACTGGACGGTTTAAAACCCGCGAAAAATGTGGAGTGACGTGTCGGTGCTCCCCCGTGATTCCCATTTCAGTTATTAATTAATTATTTATTTGTAATATTCATGTTTATCATAACGCTAACGACAGTGTAACGGACCATGGCCTTCCCTTTTCCCTCCAGTGTTATTAAAGTCGAGTCCAGCCGCTCGACCCGACCGGTAAAATCGTCACCCGGTCACAAAATCGGTTTGGAACAGTCTAAAAGCTGTTCCGGTTTTATGTAGCGGTTGACGAGCGGTCGAGGCGGTTAATTGCTCGAGCCGCTCGTCCGGTTTTTGCCATTGAGTCGTTAAATTTAATTAAAAAAATTGCAGAAAATTAAAATAAACAAAAAACGTCCTGCTCTCAAACTGAATCCTTATTTCCATTTCACAATTTCGAAGGAAAGATACGAGCTCTGATTAAGAAATGTCCACTATTTTTACTGATAACGTTTATTAGGTACCGGTTCTCTAACGATTTTTAAACAGTCTAATACCGATTGGACCACTAAAGTGAGAGTCGTGCAGGTCATGTTCCGGTTCGGTTCTGACAACGTTGTTTCCCTCCTTCCATCCTTTTCTCTCTCCCTCTCTTTCACTTATTTGATATTTCATTATTTTATCAAAAAAAAATTTATTGGTGGTCATAATTAAATTAAAAACAAAAATGAAATTAAAAAGATTAAAAGAATAGAAAAGATCAGTGAATAAAAATGGAGGTTGGAAAATCACACACCATAATAACACTTGTGCCCAACGCTAAAAGCCCACCTCTCCCCTCTCTCTCTCTCTCTCTCTCTGCTGCTGCATCGCCCCGCAGCAGCGAGGACGGCGACGGCGGATTCAGGCGGAAGTGGTGCTACTTCGTCGCCGGCGCTGGCAAGAGGAAAGGATTCAGAGTAAAGGATAGATTGATGGATTGGTGGGACAAAGTGATCTTCCCCGTCCGCCGCGTTTGGGTCGCCGTTTCTGCTCGCGTCAAGTCCCGCAAACACGGTAATTATACTATTTCTCTACTTCTTCCCTCCCCTGTTCTTGCAGTTTTGACCCATCGCCCGCCGATTTTGCTTCTTGTTGTCGGCTTCTTTCTTTCCTTTCGTTTTAATTCCGACAAATTCCTTTCTTCGGGAAAGCGTTTATAAAGCCAAAACTAGAGAAAATCAAGCAAATCGGAGAATCGATTGCCCCGATTTCGAAGTTGCAACGGCAAGCCATTTTTTTTATTAATTATTTTGCCGACGAGAGAATTGTTTAGCTGGTAATTTAAATATATAATAATAAATTCCTCCAAAAATACTAATTCGACTGTGTAAACTCCTTCCAATTTTAATTTTTCCATTCTGCATAAAGAAAATTGTACGAAATATCCCTTTGGTATACATCTACACGCCGAAAGTTGGCCACTTTCTTTCTGAATTTCAAACAATTTGTAAGATTTTGATTACCCATGATCTTATTTGTTTACCCCTTCCTTTAATCATTAGTTATAATAAATAATAAAAAAACTTGATTTGGCCATGTGAGTTCATCAGCAAGTGGTAAATAAAAGTAAAAAAGAGGAAGCAATCATAATTATATGTTGTTTATTTCCCCTTGAGGAGCATTCTTGATCGATGGCTGTTGTGGTTGGAGATCCTCCTTACCGTTTAACGATCTTTAATTCCACTTCTGGTAAATAGAATCATAAATTTCAGTGGACCGTCTCCGTCCAAGCCAAAAGCATACCGACGCGGAGCCATAAATAATATCATACATATATAATAATAACGCATTTGTCGTCTACGAATGCGTTATTATTATTTAACTAATCAGAAATCGTGACCACTTGGAACTTGGAAGCACCTCGGTCACTAGATATTACACATGATTTATTATTTGTGTATTCAAATTATTATGTGATATCAACTTCTGGAATCAGTTCAAGCCGACAACCAAAAAAAAAGATGGAAAACGGAGTTAACGGACTAACGGCGGGGGTGGGGTGGGTTTTCCGTTTTGTAACAGGTGGCGGGATTCTGATGCTTCACAACGACGTTCAGACTTGCGGGTACGAGGACGTCCAAGTCATGTGGGAAATGCTGCGGCGCTCCCAACTTGAGATCAGCAGCAGCAGCAGCAATGGCAATCTCCTGAAGCAGCATCGACCGTTCTGGCGAAGCTTCGTGTGGTCGTCGTCGTCGAACGCTCTTCGTCGTAATCGCAGGACTAGCAGCTCCACTTCGCCTCTCGTGGCTGATATAGCCTGAGTTCACATAGTCAGTAATCAATCCCTCTCCCTTGCGGTCACTACCCAGGCAGCCGTCAATGCAACCGCGCATGGTACAGTGCTGTTTTCACTACCATCCTTCTGTAAATACCATAACTTGGTCTTTTGCTTCGATGAAAGATGAAATCTATTTAAAAAAAATAAATGGATGTTTGTGTCTCTGACAATTTGGAATGATTTGGTGAAGGATGTATTACTCCTTCCTTCAATCCTTCACAGAAGTAACAAAAAAAAAGGGGTAAATAAGAATCAACGCTCATCATTTTCTACTGGGAGAAGTAAGTGACAGAGTAAGGTTTGTTTACAATTCTACTCAACCGAGTAGTCAATCTCTGTAGTCTGTACGCAACATACTCTAAACTGCACTCTTTCAACCTTTGCCTCCACAAAGTCTTGGCAAAACCCAACCTTCTGTACCAACTTGGCAGTTTCCTCCAACTGGGTTCCTTCCCCTGAACCAAATCTGTCCTTACATTATTTTTTTTAACTTTAGGCGGCTCAGCAGTAAAATATTACTCTGTTCCTTCGAGCAAAAAGTGCAAAATAAGATCGAGGATTTTACCTGTATGTAGAGGAAATGGGTTCGTGAATGCTGGATTTTCCTAGCCTAAACGAAGAGCTTTGTGTGAATCAAGTTGTCCGCTACAGTAACTAGAGGGAACAGCTGAAAGCTCCTGTCTGCCTTTCCATTCTTCCCCTGGTTTCAATGTTATTGGCTTCTCCACACAAGCAGCTCCTACCATCAGCATATGCTTATACTCCTCGTCGCCTAAATCAACGATCGCCTTTGCTCTTTTGTCCCATGGATTCCAAACAACTGCAAAACCCAGTCACAGTATGATCATGGATTATCCAGTTCAAATTCTCCAACTGTTAGCAGTGACGACTCAATTTTGAGAAATCAGCTAAAAATTTGAGAAGATCAAAATTTAATGATGTCACTCACCGGCATCTGGAAGTCCATCTTTCCGCAATACATATGTTCTCTTTCTCTCATGATCCAAAATAGCTATCTTAGTAGGAGTCTTCAGATATACTTTATCAACCTTTAACATCAGAAAATATTCGTGTCATCACAGGACTATTAACACCGAGAGCTATGAAATGATAAACATAACAAGTAGTACTCCCAGGAAACTATGATACAGACTTCTGATTCAAATGTTATGGCATCCCCTTGTTCAGTAACTCGGTCTCTGTCCTTAAGGTTATCCAGATAATCCAATGTCTCTAATCCTTCTATCCGCACTTCACTAGATGAAAGCAACGAGTGATCTTGATCATTAAGGATAGACATAGCAAACAATTATTTTTAATTGAAAAAAAAAAAGTGAAAATTCACATTTTAATGAAACTGATTATTATCTGAAATGAAAAAAGATAGAATCTACAGGCACGTATCACAAAGACTACTAGCTTGCACACGATTTAAGTTAATGATGCACAGTTGCACACAAATCCAAGTCATAGTTAGAGAGTTTGCAGCAGCCACCCTTTGCTATCCAAAAAGAGCAATTAAATAGCACCATGCATAACCATGGACAGACAACATAGCAAGGAAGCCACATATACTTATATGACTTGGGAATATTAAGCTTCCGATTATATATAAGTATGGATCCGCTCCAGATTACTAAAGTAACTCTGACCTACATTCTACAGTGGGGGACATGTCACTCACACTTATTGATTCGTCACTTGTAGTTGGAATACTCAATGAACTAACAAAATATAGGAGGACCTCCATCAGGCCAGGCTGACATTCAAAGACACACGGAACTCTAAGAAAAGCACTCTGTCAACAAGTTATAGTACATTAGAGAACCATGCATGGACATGCATACCATTTGATGTGAACTTTCCTTTTTTGCGTGTTTGATTTAAGCATAAAGGAAAAGTAGTACAACTTTTCCATGCAATAGAATGTAGCCTACGGAATGAGGACCCATGGTCCCATACACAGATACAGCAACAATTAAAGAAGGTCATGAGAAAACCTGATATCAGTGAGATAGAAATAGTTGTTATAGGCGAAGGTAAATGTAAAAGGTTTCCCATCAGTATTTGTATTCCGGATGCGGGATGTCAACATCAGATCTCCTCCAGGTCCCAGAGCGATCCTTATCCGAAATTCAAATCTGAAAGTAGATGGAGCATGTTAAGGAAATTTTATAGCCCAAACTGATTTAAAACTTAGAATGAAAAACGGTTTTCCTCCAAGGCAGAAACACATATGTGACGGCCTCTCTTAAAATCGCAGAAGACTAAAAAAAACAGGAGGTAACACGGCATGTACCTGTGAGGCCAGCTCTTTGGATCGTCTTCAGATGGTTTAAGCATTAAATCAATGAAGGCCTTATTGGAACTAACTGTTGGAAACGGAGGGGGATCTTTATCGATGGTCCACACCGTGTTTCTTGCAAATCCATGTTGTTCAAGGGAACCATGCATTCCAAACTGCATGTGTTGAACATGGTAAATTTGGAAGACAAGTTACTCGAGAAATAGACCCTCAGGAGGAAAGAGAAGCACCTACTTGAGGAAAGCTAATTGGGATACCTCCTCTTATTGCTGTTGGAGGTTTGAAAACGGCCTGCTCAAAGTTTAAAAAAAATCATGATTTAGGAACAAAGGTAATAATGTGCAAGAAGCAGGAATGATGAAATACAATTGTGGTATTGTTGGCTTAAGTAGTGACCATATTAAGCCAAGACAACCAGCATGAATAAGTATTTGAGGGCATGCAACGGAAATTAACTGATTTAGAAAAGTATGCAGCGTCACACATTTACAAACTGCATAGAATAAATGCTTTGGGGAAAAAAAATTCAAAACATTTGTTAAGGTTCGGGCTATGGATTCATAGGGATGTTCATGGAAGATGACTATCTTCAGTGAGCCTCACATGAACCAGATTTGTGTTATGTGCCTAAGAGTTGGAAATGTTTGCAAGTCAAGATGGGTTTCAAGGAGCTGCAGTGTTACTAGAAATGGACCCATCAGATTCAATGCTATTGTTTAAAGGAATTGTCACTTACAGACAGGAGTACCTCTATGCTGTCAAAATTATACAACAGATCAAGTTTAACAGTTTTTATGGTCAGTTCAACAGAGTTGTAAAACCTTCCATAACTGTACAAAGGAAGCCAGAAGGAGTACCTTGCTACTGAGGAAAAGCAATTCTTCTCCATATTCATTCTTCCAAGATGTAACTTGACCTCCATTCAAGTAAACCTGTACAGATGGGGAGGGGAAAAACACAGGCATTCATCTGTTGAACTTCACAGAATTGAGTGAAAGGATTGGAGAAACAGAACCAAACGTTCTTCGATCGCAACTCTCCAAGCTTCCAATGTATGCGCTCAAAGTAAATGTCCAATCAACAGAGTAATCAGTGGTTTCCCAATGTTACAGTAACCAGCAGCTTATCAGCAGGAATCATCCATTTATTATGTCAAAAGACCCACAGCGAGGAAGAGAGCGGACAAGAGATGCAGAAGATAATGAGAAATGGGAAGAAATCACCGCAACTGAGACGGGGATAACAAATGCATAGAGCTCACAATAAACACAAGCATATTCATTCATCCAAATGATTCACCGATAAGAAATCGACACATAACGAATTGCGGGCACTGCCATCAATATCATCATTCAAATCATGAATCGTTACAGGACAATGGAATCGCTGAAACTAGCTTCATAGGATCACTTCAAAAATTGTTCTGGATCCGCGCGAAAAGGATAATTGTGGGTGCGGGTAAACGAAGGGAGGCGGAGAAAGCAAAGATTTACCTCAGCAGAATGGCCACGGACCTCGCGCAGGATGACCTTATCGAGGCCATTAACGCCCTTACAGAACTCCACGAATTTCTTCTCCCTGCCTCCGCCGGCCTCGAACGACATTTCTCCGGTTCTTCCCCGCCGTCCTTGTTCTTCTGATCAAAGCATCTGAGAGGGATGGGGACAGGACAGTTATCCGGGGCGATCTTAGGAGGAGAAATTGGTGTCGCTGCTTGGGTGATATGAATTTCAACGTCCAGAAGACGATCGATGACCACAAGAATTCGTTCTTCGTTATGATATGCAGAGAGAAATTCGAAACTCGCAGCTTCCTCCGGTCTCGTGTCCACAATATTGAATATTCAAGCGGCCTAGCAAGTGGCCCTCACAGAATATTTTTGGGAATTGCCAGGAGAATATTTTTGGACAATATATATTTTTTCTTTTGAGGAAATGCTAGCGTACGTACGCTATGGCCTGTCGTTTGGTGCTACTATTAGAATATACGGTATACCGTAGAGTATGATCGAATATCGACTTATTTTTAAGGATAGAAATTGAGATTCATTTTGGAGTACAATATAGTTTTCGAGATTGTTAGAGAGTGATATAAGATCCAGCATAACTTGCTCTCAACAACTCGAGTTATTGGGATCAACTGGTTTATGACATGATATCAGAGCTGGTTTGGCCAAGTGGTCGTGTGTTCGAATCGAATCTCCACGACCTCCAATATTAACAGTTGATTAAAGCACAATGTATGGTGGGCCTGTGCAAATTTCAAGCTCATGGGTTATTCGGACCAACTGGTTTATGGGATTGAGATGGGAATATACGGATAACAAGAAACCCCAAAAATTAAAAATTAATGAAATATAGCACACAACTTTTCATCATTCCTCACTCTTTCACTATTTAGAAGTCCACATCCAACTCAATTTTTACTTTTTCAGTTTTAGTTACTCTCGTCTCTCACCTAATCTCTTGTTATTTTCATAACACCAAAAAGCAAACACTATTGTCGTCTCTCAACCTCCAATTCATCAAATTAAATATTACTAATGACAAGAGTTTGAGATGTCATCTCTCCTAATTCATTCTCGTTATCCATATCCTAACTCTAGGCAAACTCAAGACTCTTTGTTTAGTATATTTGCCCTAAATTCAACAATAAAATCTAATTTACATGTTTAATTATTAATTACAAAGGTAATTAATTTTTTATTCTTTAATTCCGTTTGGATGCATAAGTATCGATTGGGATACCGAAACATTTATGGATTGAGATTGGGATACCGAAATTATTTAGGGATTGGAATTGGTTTTAGGGTATAATTCGATATTCAGTATTTGATATTGGGATACCGATATCGTACCGATTTCCACCCCTGTGTTCATATCTATTATTTATACTTTGATAATTTCAAAGAATCAGAATCGTTGATTTTCATTTTACGATTAAATGAATCTTATGGTTTATGTTA